AAGCCCTAAAACCCTAAAACCCTAAAGCCCTAAGCGAGCGGTATAGGCCAGCTAAATCAGGGTCTGACCTAGCAGTCTGGTGGGGGTAGCTGCTTAGTAGGAAGATGATAAAGCCCTGAAAGACTGTGGCGTAGCGGGTAATTGTAGCGTCTTCCTGTAAGGACTGGAAAGGCCGTATACCCTCCCGCTCGGAGCTAAACTGCATAAGCTTAACTAGGGCTGACCGGCTAGTCCGGGAGATAAGCGCGTCGGAGGCCTTAAAGAGGGAGCAGATAGTAAGTAGGAGGAACCTCCTAAGGTCGTCGGGGGGAGTTGCGCGTTAGGGATGCTAAGATCAAATAGACTCCCTAGCTTCGAAAGGTCCCGGCTGCCGATAAGGTCCTTATAGCCTGTGAGCCGCTGAAAGGCAGTCACTTCGTGGCGGCTAGTAGGGCCGAGCGTATAGGGCTGGTTAGCAGGCTGCTGGCTAGCATGGTAGGCCCTAAGCTGCGCTAATATCGTAGTAGCAGCCTCTGAGGGGGGCCCCGGAGAGCTAGGGGCCTGGGGCTCGGGGCCCTGCGGGTGAGAGGGCTGGGGCTCAGGGCTCTGAGGGTAGGGTGTCTGGGTAGCGAAGAAGAAGCGGTTCTTCTGGAGCCCTTAGTAATAGCAGGACTGGAGGTGCTGCTCTAGTTCAGAGGAAGTCCCCCGAAGCCTGTGGGTATTCCGAAGGTGGGCGATAGCAGCGACCTTACTGGTTGAGATAGTAAGGCAGTTATCATAAACACACTGAGGGCCAGTTATAGCAGCAGGGAGCCCTACTAGAGGTGGAATAGGGCCTCTAAGCCTAATAGCCCTGAATGCTTCGTCGATCGGGCTAAGTTGACGAAGAATACCCTCTATATAGCGAAGTATAGCGGGGCTATCCCGAATCGTAGGGTCATGCTTCGCTATATGAGCGAGGGGGTCTTTACCTAAAAGAATAAATTAGTATGCTGAACTATATATAAGTAAGCAGCCATTACCTAGTAGGGTAGCTTCACAGATAGTACAGATAAGGATCTTAAACTCATCTATATAAACGAGGAAGGGGGGGAGCTGAGTGGCTGACATAGCGAGGTTGATAAGATGATATACTAGGAAGGTAGAAATAGATTTTTGATAATAATAAAGAAAGGGGGTATAGTTAGGGGGGAGTAGGGAGTATATATATCTCTTTTCTCGGTGGTTAGTAACGCCATAGACCGAGCACTTATCTATGGCGTGACCCGCCAAGCCCTACCCGCTTCACGATAATATAACATAGAGGGGCTGGGCAAGCCTATTTATGGCGTCATCTGTAGATCTCTAGACTCTTATCTATGGCGTGACCCGCTAAGACTAACTCCGCTTCTCGACACTATAACATAGAGGGGCTGGGTAAGCCTATGTATGGCGTAACCTGTAGATCTCTAGACTCTTATCTATGGCGTTACCCGCCAAGCCCTACCCCACTTAGCGATAACGTTACATAGAGGGGCTGGGTTAGCCTGTGAAGCCACTAGAGGAAAGGAGGTTACTCTGAGTGATAGGATAGCGCCGAGGGCCGAGGGATAGGACTAGATTCCTAGTAAATTAGATAGGTATAATGCGTAACTACTATAACACAAAATGTTTTCATCCTATGTGAGTATATAAGGGAGCCACTCCCTCTATATTTCCTCGATAAAAGGCATTCTGCAAAAGGCCTGCAGGGCCCCCTCTTTGCCCCCCCCTCTGTAACTGCTCTGCAAAAGCCCTGCAGGCCCCCTCTCGACCACCTGTCTGCCAACTGGCCTGCAGCCCCCCCTGTGGGCCCTCCTGTGCAACTGCTCTGCCAACTGCTCTGCCAACTGGCCTGCAGACCCCCTCTCGCCCACCCGTCTTCCAAAAGGCCTGCAGGCCCCACTCTGGGCCCTCCTGTGCAACTGCTCTGCCAACTGCTCTGCCAACTAAGCCTGCAGGCCTCCCTCTGCGCCCTCTTCTGTAACTGCTCTGCTAACTGCTCTACAAAAAGGCCTGCAGGCCCACCTCTCGCCCACCTGTCTGCCAACTGGCCTGCAGGCCCACTCTCGCCCACCTGTCTTCCAAAAGGCCTGCAGGCCCCACTCTGGGCCCTCCTCTGCAACTGCTCTGCCAACTGCTCTGCCAACTGGCCTGCAGGCCTCCCTCTGCGCCCCCTCTGGCCCACCTCTCTGCAACTGCTCGATAAAAAGGCCTGCAGCCCCCCCTCTGGGCCCTCCTCTCTGCAAAAGGCCTGCAAGCCCCCCCCTCTGGCCCACCTCTCTGCAAAAAGGCCTGCAGGGCCCCCTCTTTGCCCCCCCTCTGTAACTGCTCTGCAAAAGGCCTACAGGCCCCCTCTCGACCACCTGTCTGCCAACTGGCCTGCAGCCCCCCCTCTGGGCCCTCCTTTGCAACTGCTTTGCAAAAAGGCCTGCAGCCCCCCCTCTGGGCCCTCCTGTGCAACTGCTCTGCCAACTGCTCTGCCAACTGGCCTGCAGGCCCACTCTCGCCCACCTGTCTGCCAACTGGCCTCCAGGCCCTCCTCTGGGTCCTCCTCTGCAACTGCTCTGCAAAAGGGCCTGCAGGCCCTCCTCTGGGCCACCTCGTTACCACCTGCCCTGCAGGCCCCCCTCTGGGCCCCCTCTGCAAAAGCCCCTCTGTAACTGCTCTGCAAAAGGCCTGCAGGCCCCCTCTCGACCACCTGTCTTCCAAAAGGCCAGCAGGCCCTCCTTTGGGCCCTCCTAGACCTTGCCAACTCCCATGGGACTAAGAAAATTTTGGTCCCATATCCTGGTCCCATCTACTCCCATGGGACTAAAAAATTCCGGTCCCATTACCCTAGTAGTCCCATGGGGGTCCCATGGGAGTTATGGGACTCCCATATGGTCCCACGCTAGCATAATTTTGCCAAGGATTTCCTATTTCAGCTGCACAAAACTGCAAAGTAATCAGATAAAATACTGTTATTTACAGGCGTATGAGTGTCCCTACTTTCAATGTCTAACAATATGGTTTTGTTATATGACATAGTCCATAATAGAGTTAACAAATGACTCAAGTATATATCAAAAAGCATCCATCTTCAAAAAAAAAACTTCATATACTAGATTGTGGTGGCTTTTGGGCGCAAAGGAGATTTAAACATAGTATTAGAAGGAAGTGGTTAAGCAAAATATATATTTACAGAGAGGTACTACACTACATTTTCTACATATTATTTAGAAAGTATAAATTTGACAAAGATTTTAACAAATTATATTTAATTCCCGCACCATAAGAAACCTTACCTCTAAATTAGTTATATTCACTTTAGAATAACTATTCATACTACGTGGTTATTGAGTAATTTCGGGATAAAGAAGGCTTAAAAGTGAGAATTTTCCCCTTAAAGTTGTGGGGGATTGTAGATACCCCTAAATCTAATCAATTTCCCTTTTATATGGGAGTCCCATGGGAGTCCCACGGGAGTCCCGCGGGACCCCCATGGGAGTCCCGTCGAACAGACCAATAAGTAACATATAATAAGTGGGTACTAGCCTATTTGTGATGTATCTTCGCGCTATTACTCGTTTAAACTCTACTAGTAGCCGAACGTGACTCTCGCGACTGTAAAGGTAGGTGTTAGAGATATGCTTTTTAAACCCTCTTCTAGTTCAACAGAATTATTATTCTAGTATGTCGCAATACGAACTATACGCTGAGGCTGGCCCTTCATCCCAGATCACATTGTCCCACGCCGGAATTCCTCCACCTTCTTCAGTCTATAGCATTGGCATTATTAATGACCCCCTTACGCCAGATCATTCAATTAGCCAGCAGCCAATCTATAGCGGACCAGAATCCTCAATCCTCTAAATAGAGCCGAATCCGATTCCTCCAAATCTCCGCCGTATCGGTCCTAAACATCAAAAGTTCTGGGTTCTTTGGACTACAATGAATAAGACCGACTTCGTTGAGTGGTGGCGCCATACGGCAGGTGCTCACCCACACCCTCCGCTTCATAAAGTGAACTTTGAAGCAAGGTATACCTCTGCTACTTGGGAGCACTTTGACCAAGTAGCACACTTTCAAACCGGGAAACCAATGGCACTCTGTCGGAGGTGTGGAAAAGCGCTCTCGCACCCATCCTCGACATTAAATGGTTCGAAGTCACTTACTGCACATTTATCTAGCCGCGCATGCATAGTTACCTCGAAAAAGGCTTCAACACAACAGGATATACAGCAATCGCTCGAACTTGCGGTATTATATACGTCCGATTCTACATTCTATCGATTTGATACTAATATCTATATTATATTTAGTCTACTCGTACGCCTACCCGAAAAGTCTTTGACTAACAACGATTTGAAAGAGCCCAAGTCAAATTTATAGCGAACTCACGCCTTCCATTTCAGATCCTCCGGCATAAAGACTTTAAAGATCTAATTACAGAGGCTCAGCTTTCTTAACAAAAACTCACCCTTCTATCACTAAAGACCGCGCGGCGTCGGCTCCAGTCAATCGTCCATACAGAGCAGCAAAAGCTCCTTTCTCTTCTCCCAGCCGGAGCGAAGCTATCAATTGCCCTTGATTGTTGGACCTCACCCTTCTAACAGGCATTCATGGCAATCACAGGCTATTTTGTGGATATCAATTGGGATTATCATGAGATACTTCTAGGTTTCATGCCAGTTCACGGCCAGCATACAGGCTCCTATCTAGCAGACGTTCTCCTTGAGGTTCTTCAGCAACAGCAGGTTACCAATCGAGTGATTGCGATTACTACAGACAATGCGTCAAATAATAAGACCTTAGTCGATAGTCTATGTGATTCAATCGAACGGTTAGAGCTTCCTAATTTCACTGAAATTGTACGGATTCCATGTCTTGCTCATGTGATTCAATTGAGTCTGAAAGATCTCCTTAGCCTAATAAAGGCTGATCCAAAAAACGACAAGACAGCAACAACATGGTCGGAAGAAAACGGGAGTGTTCTTCAACAGGCAAAGAGACAGAAGGGAATCATTTATACGCTAGCTAAGGTAAAGTAACTAATGCCTTTAACAATTTTATCTAATACTAACTACTATACTGCCAGGTACGGGCCTTCGCAGTTTTTATTAATGCCAGCCCACAGCGACGGGAGGCATTTCTAAATCTTCAAAGCGAAGAACCGAGGCTTACCCCGATCCAGGATGTACGCACTCGGTGGAATTCAACATATCTTATGCTCCAGCGCGCCAATCGCCTTTCAGATAGCTACCAAAGATATTGCGCAGAGCATCAGCGCCCCGAATTCCGGCTTGGTAAAAGCGAATGGCGGCAGATCGAATACTTGCTCCATATCATAAAGCCTTTCTACAAATGGACGGTTAGCCTATCAAAGATTAAGGCGACAACAATCCATGATGTGTTCCGGGTCTATAACCGACTATTTACCCATTTTGAGCAGGCCCAGGCCCGACTTCGGCGAAAGAAAGTGCCTTGGAAAAAGGCTATGCTTAAGGCTCTTGAGGCCGGAAGTAAGAAACTCTCGGTATACTATAAAGCAACTGAGCAAGCACATGGCAGCCTATATGCAATTGGTACAATTCTTGCACCTCAGCATAAACTTGAATTCTTTAAAGGACCAGAGTGGGCAGGTGAAGTCGATAATATGGATTCCTCCTGGCATGACATATATGAAAAGTCTCTTCATAATCATTTGGAGGATTACTCAAAACGCCAGCCTAAAAAGTAAGTGCTTACAAAGGCAAAGTCCTCCTCGCATAGCACGGATGCAATGATGAGCCTCTTCGAGGAGGATCAACCAGAGCCACCACCGCAGCCGAAGACTGGGTGGCAAGAAGAACTTAAGGGATATCTTAATACTGGTATGTTTAGATGATCATGATTATAACTTAACTAAGCTAATTATATATAGAACGGAGCATAGTAAACCCATGCCATTTCTGGAAAGAGAATGAGTATAGATTTCCGATACTCGCAGCGGTTGCACGGGATGTCTTTTCTATCCCAGCTACTGGCGCCGGTGTTAAGCGCCTCTTTAGTACTGCTCGCGATATCTGCCATTATCGACGAGGCTCATTGAACGAAGTAACAATACAGGATTTGATGATGCTTCGTTGTTTATCCAAATTTGATATTGAAAGTGAGGAAACTGGGGAGGATTTCCAACCTGAGGCTACCTTAAATCAGGACGAAAGGACTGAGGGTGATGAGATAAGGGAGGCGGGACTTCCTGAGTGTATACCAGAGGCAATTAGCGAGGGTGAGGACGGTGATAACTCAGATGAAGCAGGAGAGATTGTTACCGATCAGGAGGCCGCTGAGGAGTCAGATGATGATTCGGCACTACATCCATTGCCTGCCATCGATACTACAAGTCAGGCACGCCCCCAAAGAGATCGTAAGCGGCGTAGGGATGAAGATCTATACGAGTATACTAGATAGTTTAATCACAGGATACTATAATTACACTACTTTTTGAGAGGAATTAATCCAGAATCATTCAATGCTACCTCCCACTGTAAGCTAAATACCCATTAATACAGGGCATTTCTGCATATCTTATGCAGGTCACGTTTTTCTACGTGTTTGCAGTGTTTACAGTCCCATGGGAGTCCCATCAAAGTCCCATGGGAGCGGACTAGCACCTCACTCCCATCTCTTGGCACTCCCATGGGACCATATGGGAGTCCCATCTACTCCCATGGGAGTGGTCCCATGGGACCAAATGATGGGAGTTGGCAAGGTCTAGGCCCTCCTCTGCAACTGCTCGATAAAAAGGCCTGCAGGTCCTCCTCTCGACCACCTGTCTGCCAACTGGCCTGCAGCCCCCCCTCTGGCTCGCCTCTCTACAAAGGTCCCTCTTCCAAAAGGCCTGAAAGCCCCCTCTGGCCCTCCTATCTGCAAAAGGCATGCAGGCGCACCTCTGGGCCTTCTTCTCTGCTAACTGGCCTGCAGGCACCTCTGGCCCTCCTCTGTAAAAGCCCCTCTATAACTAGCCTATAGGCCCCCCTCTTAGCCCCCTCTATAAAAGCCCCTCTGCTACTACTCTGCTAACTAGCCTATAGGCCCCCCCTCTCGGCCCCCTCTATAACCCCCCGGTCGACCTAGCCTATGGCCCCCTCTATCCTAAACGCCCTCCGTTTTACTACCGCCTCATCGCCCCCCTATCTACCTACGACTACTATCTCCCGCTTATACGACACCCTATGGTACTTCTAATTACTTATTAGCCTCTATACGCTATAGATATAAGGCTACGTAATTAGTATAAGACCCTAGGAGTCCTACCTAGGCCTATTACTTAGCCGCGCACTACCGCTATACTATTCGAATCGAGAGGCCGTTATTATAGTAAGGCGTTATGGCCGGTGGTATATTATATAGTAATCCCCTAGTAGATAGGTCGGATCGCTGGACGAAACACTATCTAGAACAGAAGGGGTAGATTTTAGCTAGTAAATAGTATATATATAAAGTATTACTATTGATATAAAACATATAGATTAGAGTTTATACTGTATATATTTCATATATTTCATATAAATCGACTAATACCTCCCTTTCTAAAATAGCTACGGAAAATCTAAATAGTGCATTTAATAGCCCTTTTCTTACTATATATAATATAATATTTTAATATTTTTATATATTTATTTAGTAGGATATCACCTTAGGAATAACCATAAAAAAAATATATTTCTATGATGGCCGCTATTTAATTCACGTGACGCCGTAAATACGGATACGGTCCCATATTTTTACTACTAGGCGGCTAAGATAAGACGGATACCGATTATACGGGATCCCGTATCGTAATCTACGGTCGCACCCCACCAAAAAAAAAGGATCGATTTTTAACTTAATATTTAACCACCTTCCTAGGGAGCTATGGGTCTGAAACTTTAATAGAACCTAGATATATACCAAGAATAGAACTCTATATTTTTTCAGGCTGTTTTAAGCAGCATTACGGAAGATAGACCAGGTCGAAGATTTCACGTTCTACCTGGTTCCCCCACATTGATTATTAGCCAATCAGAGCTCTTAAAAATCTTCTACCTACCAGGTCGAAGGTTCGGAATAGAGTTAGTGGAGCAGCCCCTAGGCCCTCTATGGTACGAGAAATGGCGGACCTTCTTCTTCAAAAGCGTGGAACTACCCCGGTTCTTTCGGTCGGCCAAAATTGGGTTACGAAATTCGTAAAACGACATCCTCTCCTCTCCCCCCGATTCTCGAAACGGTATAATTACGAGCGTGCGAAATGCGAAGACCCTAAAATTATTAGGGAGTGGTTTAATCTGGTTCAAAAGACGATCCTTCAATTTAGAATCGACCCCGACGATATCTATAACTTTGACGAAACTGGTTTCGCGATGGGATTAACTGCAACTGCGAAGGTTATTGCGCGGAGTGAATACTATAGTCGGAGGCCTGTTTTACAACCTGGAAATCGTGAATGGGTGACAGTGGTTGAATGTACGAATGCTTCTGGATGGGCCCTTCCTCCGTGTGTGATTTTTAAAGGCAAAGTCTTCCTCGAATCTTGGTTCGACGGCCTTCCAGATGACTGGCGGTTTGAAGTTAGTCCGAATGGATGGACCTCCGATGAAATTGGACTTCGGTGGCTCGAAAGGCTCTTTATTCCGACGACTTCGCGTACGAAGGGGGTATACCGGCTTTTAATTCTTGATGGCCACGGAAGTCATTTAACGCCTTAATTTGACGAAATTTATGAGTAAAATAAGGTGATACCAATCTGTATGCCAGCGCATTCATCTCATCTTTTATAACCTCTGGATATTGGTTATTTTGCGGTATTAAAACGTGCCTACGGTCGGATGGTTGAAATCAAGATGCGGAACGGGTTCAATCATATTGATAAACTTGACTTCCTTGAAGTATACCCTCTCGCACGAATTAAAGCTTTTAAATCGGAGACGATTAAGAATAGCTTCGGAGAAGCTGGTTTAGTCCCTTTTGACCCGGAAAGAGTGATTTCAAAGCTTAATATTCGGCTTCGAACCCCAACCCCCCCTCCTAGCCGGGGAAGCGAATTAAGTCGAAATTTTACACCAAAAACACTAGCTACAGAGAAAGATCTACGTCGGCAGGCTTCGTCAATTAAAGCTCTACTTCGTATAAGATCTCGAAGCCCGCCTAGCCCGTCAGATCGTGCATTAAACCAGCTTGTGAAAGGCTTCCGTCTTACAATGCAAGGTGCTATCCTACTCGCCAAAGAAAACAAGGAATTACGCGCCGCTAACGAGAAGCAGAAGCAAAAGCGTACTAGATCCCGGAGGCAAATACCCGCCGAAGAAGGCCTTTCAGTTCAAGAAGCCTCTGCATTAATTATGCAGCAACAAGAAGCAATTGAAGCACCTCCCCCCGGCCCCGGCATGCCTGGAGAATCAACTATTCAGCCACGTACGCGGCCCCCCGGGGGTGTGGAATATGCAGATTGCCAGGGCATAGAAGAGAAACATGTCCAGATAGACCAGTTGTTAGTTGATTCAATTTAATGGTGTTTTGGTAGAGATATATGCATTTCAATTCAATATGTTAGGTTGGGGTGGCGGCTCGGTGGTGGTGGCGGCTCGGTGGTGAAATACGTTATCTATATCAGAGTTTATATACTGTATAATTTATATAAATCGACTAATATCTCCCTTTATAGGATAGCTACGTAAAGTCGAAATAGTGCATTTAATAGCCCTTTTCTTGCTGTATATAATACCATATTTTAATATTTTTATTTAATACGATATCACCTTAGGAATAACCATAAAAAAGATATATTTTCGTAGTGGCCGCTATCTAATTCACGTGACGCTGTAAATACGGATACGGTCTCATATTTTTACTACTAGGCGGCTAAGATAAGATGGATACCGATTATACGGGATCCCGTATCGTAATCTACGGTCGCACCCCACCAAAAAAAAAGATCGATTTTTAACTTAATGTTTAACCACCTTCCCGGGTAGCTATCGGTCCTAAATTTTAATAGCACCTTCGTATATATATAGAATAGAACTGTGTAAATTTTCAGACTAATCGAAGCACGCCTAACCAGGTATTTATCAGACCCAAATACCTGGTCCCCCCCCACTTTCCAGGAGCCAATCAAACCACTTAAAATCCACATACCTACCAGGTATGTGTCCTGGAATAGAGTTAGTCCTACCTGGAGCTTAAATTATACGAAAAAATCAATAATAGGATAACATGTAAATATACTATGGATTAGAATATGAATCTATAAGTAATCCTAACTTAAAATAGATATTTTAAAATAAAGTTAAAGAGTGCTGGCCCTTCGTACGGTCGCACCCCATCAAAAATAATTCCGATTTTCAATCAGCCACTACACCTTTAGAACTTGATCAATTACTCTAAAATTTAGTGACCATAATCTTTATAGTATAGAATAGAACTTTACAAATTTTGAGCTTCATCCTGGTACGAGAAGCTTTTCCAGTCTACTCACGAAAAGTATTCCAGTCTACTCATGGCCCCACTTTTATCCACCATAGTGAAGGTAAAGTCCTAATTCCAGTCTACTAGACTGCAACCACCCCCATGGGATAGGGAGGTGTCTCTTTGGCCCAGTGAATCTTAGCAATTGATATTAGCGGCTAACGACCATCTTGACCAGCTCGCGGTTGTTTACAGGCGAAAAATGATCTCAACGTCACCTGATGGTGTAAACCTCAAAGAATTATCATTCACCCTTCGGCTGTCATTACAGTAGGCCCAAGAAAATGACTTCCAGTTCTCTCGTTACATACAGTACAATACCGACGCTCACACTTTATTTCCCAAACCCCTAAATTCGGTTACGCAACACTTAATTCGATCATGAAAAGAACGGATCCAGGGTTCCTGATCATTATATTGACAACAGGCTTTGTTCCTAACCGTCATCGATTGAACTGAACGAAGAGAGAATGAAGACATGGTAAACAGTGTATATTGCAAGTTCAAGCACTACCAAAATAAGACCCCGAATTCTTTGCGTGGGAGATCGAATGATCCCCCCTTTCACATACGTATGGACGTACCAGTCAAACAACCCTTAATCTTTCGACACATAATGCCCAAATGCAAGAAGGCTGGGAAATTCTACCGCGTTCCACTCACGTTCATGAGTGAAATCACACGCAATTACCCCACCGGGAGGAAACAGACGCAAGTGCATTCCTTTCGAACCATAGCTTGACGATTGCGAGAGCCCCACAGCAAATCTCATTCCCGTTATCCCATGTATTGTGACATGAGCTGCATAACGATAGCAGTCGAAACCTTCTTCTGGAATCGTGTTGTCAACTAATGCAGGCATTTCATTTGTGACCAGTTCCTTGGCAGGAGGTTTGGGCGGATTCGGGTCTCGAATGTATCCATGGTATAAAGGCTTTATCTCAAAGCTTTGAAAGCCTTCCCCCCACATGGTGACATAAAGTACATCTTTCGCTTTGGGAACAGAACTGTACAGGTAGCCATGGACCGTAATCGGTGTCGGGTCCCCTTCTTTGGTGAGGCTTTTTAGGGCATCAATCATGTCGTTGCCCTTTGATACACCACAACGGTTGAGGAGGGTCCCTAGGGATTCCACCCCGAGACCTGTCACGGCCGAGCTTTCAACAAGGTTGATCGAATCCGCCCAGTCCTTAAACGCGTCTTTACTGGCAGGATCTCGCTGGAGCTTTAGAGAACTCGACCGGTCACCGCCAGTTACACTGGCTATTGTACTGCGTTTCTTGAGGTACTCTTCGTAGGAATTCTTGTTTTCAATGCTGGCGCTGCTGCCAAAGTTTTCTCCGAATTCAGCCTTGACATTGGCTTTGAATTCGGTTTTGTTCTCGAATTGCGCGTTCTGCGCCTCCACTTGTAAGGAAAAGCGACAGCCGTAGTGGCACCTCCGAATAACGTGTGTTCCCCATTGATAAAAGAATTTCTGATATATGTCTTTAATAGCATCGGTCTCCTGCCACTTCGGCAGTTCCTGGGCAGCTTGTAGGAAATCCCGGCTTAAGCTGGCCGTTTCCTGGTCGTGGCGAGTCTGTAGAAAGGTGGAAAACTGGGTCTGGTTGATAGCCATCAATGCATACATCGAACTTTTGGTGACAGTACTCTCGTAGCTGAAGCCACCGCCCATCTCGACTGTCATTGCGAGATATTTGCCGTTTACGCTTCTCTCCATCTTCAGCGAGTTACTTAATTCGCTCCCACTGTTTACCTCGATGTCTGTCGAAGTAGTTCCATTGCCACCGCTCACGATCTCAACATTTTCTCTGACCGTGACCTTCTCAGCGATGCCTGGGATGGAGACCTTCTTGGTCTTCTCGGCCAGTTTGATTATGACCTCGTCCTTTTTGTGGTTTAGAACACTCTGAACATCAAAGACATTAGGCTCTAGGTCTCTGCGTCAGCGCGGTCGATAGGGTGCTGTGGATAAAGGACTCACTCTCCAGGATGTTCACTGCGGAACCTAGGAGATTTTGGAACTGTAGATCCTGTCCAACCAGGATGTTTGCAATAACCATATTGGCATACACTGACCTTTGTTGGTCAACGTGAATAAAAAGTGATGATGGAGAGGAAATGATATTGAGATGAATTGAGGGCATCCGAAGCACCTTTATGTGATTTCTGGAGATATGACCTTGCAAGGGCACCCATTTCTAGAGAAGGGCCTTCAGATCCACGATGAAATGAAATACAAATCTTCATCTCTTTCACGTCGTGCTACGTTACACTGCTTTACCTGCAGCTCCTCACCGTAAGTTCAGTCTTGCCACACGTTCACCTTCCTGGGATAAAATACAACGCAGCTGTAGATGCCTTAAGAAGAAAAGAGGCCCTTCAAACCAAAATATATCAACTATATTGTAAACATCTAGTGATTATGTGTGTAGCAGTGTGGAAGTGTTGAAAGTATTTTCGGAATCTGCTGGCTTTAATTATAGACAGGGAAGATTTAAACCTAGCGGACGATCTTCTCCTTGTGATAGACACCCTTTGGCCATGCTTAGCCAATTAATCTATCATAAATCTGTCCGTCAGGAGGAGCAGACCATGGAATAGTTAGGTAGGTATTGTTCTTGTGGAGGTCTATCTACCAATCTACCAGTTTAGAACATACCCTGGCTCCGCAATGTGACTAGCTGACTAAGTATACCCAGCCCTTTCTTCGCATAAAGTGGTGTCTCTTTGGGAGCGTGCAGCGTACATACATCTGCCCAATGAAGATCGGTAATAGGTACGTTATCCTCTCTCCTGGTGACGTACGACGCCTTCTAAGCTACTAACAGGCAGATGGTCTCATTTGACTGGCTACTTATAACTGTGTTTGTGACTGGGATGGATGCCAGCTCGATCTTCACTTTCTCCTGCCACGTTAATTATGTGGCTGGCTGTGATGAAAATTTCGTATTCTGAGTCTTGCTTTGATAGGCCTGATCTCCAAGTTGTTGCGTTCTGTGAGTAGCTACAGGTAAACATCTTATGTTGGTTATCCCTTGAGCATCGCTTGATCTTGTGTGTAACGTCCACACCGCAATTTTGAGCAGCTTGGTACGGGTGTTACGTCATGGCTACCCGATGAATATTGAAGTAAGAGGTGCTCTTGAATCATAGTCGTAAACGAATACAGAGCACAGACGATCTGGGTTAGTCTATGATATTTGAGGGCTTTCGGCGCCTTCAAACCTTACATTCCTCATCCATGCAAGTCAAGTGGGCGCCTAACTCTATTCTGAACCTTCGACCTGGTACCAGGTCGAAGGTTCGGAATAAAGTTAGTGCTATCCAGGGTGTACGCGGGAGTGCTCTCCTCACGGTCGAATCTAATTCTGGCCTGAAACCGGCATATTTCTTTACTGTCGTACCCGACCCTAGCCCGATGCTGTCTCGACCCCACACGGCGATTATTCTAGGGAAACTAGGACCGTACACGTCGGACGAGAATGTGCTGCTAGTGCGGCTGAAGGAAAAAGAGGCAATGTCATGGTCTGAGATTACGGCTCACTTCCCAGGCCGAAATATGTCATCCCTTTAAGTCCACTATTCAACCAAATTACGCCACACGGCCAGCTCTCGGTCTGGAAAACCGAGGAGACGCGAATGAGAGAGTCTATGCTGTCGGAATATTTCTTGGTTCGCGCCTGTCGACCTTTCGCTATATATAACATCCTCCGTAGCCATCTGTTTCAATATAAGCATTAAGTCAGTTTTGTGTACTCTGTAATATTACTATTGTGGCTACTAGCAGAGGGGAGAAACAGAAAGAAGAATAATTGTTGTTTAATCTAGAAGAGAGCAGAGTATTTATACCCTGCTGTCTAACAAACAATCCGCTCAGTCTGCAAGCAAACAATGGGAGATGAGATCATCCAACAATTACGACTCTAAAACTAAAGATACAAATAATTTGCAGTTATTATACATCTCTAGTGGGCCTTTATATAATTAGCATCATGGCAGCCCATAGGCATGTCAATGTCTATTGATGGCTTCAGCATGGTGAGCTGAAAGTTTCCAGGTGAAAGCGAGATTAGCCATACTGGTTAAGGCGTCGGGATAGTTCTCACCGAGCTTTGTCTTACTCGTCTTCATCATCTGCACACTGAAATACTCAGCCTCCTCCCACTGGCCCTGGTACCAAACGTCGACGTTAGGTTGAACTAATTAGGAAGCTCTAGCCAAGTAAACTTGACCTCCAGAGCTGACATCCTGATAACTTAACAACTCCTATATTTGCTACATGCACCTTGATTCTCCGCACGTGGCACCGCATAAAAAAATGATTTAAGATTTGACAAGGAGTGAAGTTTGCCGAGAACATCTGATTGGAAAAGGGGGTTCTTACGACCTCAGCACAGGAAGCTAGATAATATTATAAATATCTATGGGGAGTATGGAACGCATAACCCCCAGCTTGGAGGCTCATAATGGCAGTAGCCAAAGAAAACCTTTGAAAAAGTGGAGATTGGGGGCTTTCTCAAAGTGGAGATGGCATGCCTCTCAAAGTGGAAGGTGCCTAGCTAGGCATGTCCCATGTTGGATCTTGGCTGCTGGCTAGTCCCTCTTGGATGTCATCTTGTTGATGTGGATCCTTTCAGCCCCGTACTAGGGGCGGAGAAAGAGAAGAAATTGGATAGCCGCCAAAAGCTGGCACATTCATATTCAGGTCTATAAATTGGCCATGTGCACATGTATCTTTGGGAAAAATAGTGGTGATATCAACTTCAAACACCGAGTCAGCTTTTAAGTTGACAAAGTATAAACCATCCGTTACCATCATGCGGTTTGTTTCAGGCTTCCTAGCGACACTTAGTTTGTCCCTCGCTTCTGAAGTCATGCCCCAATTATATCGCTAACATTTGCGTGCATCAAGTCGTGGGAGCAAGCGCTCTACCACAGAAAACGCCAGAATCTTTCGACTGGGAAAAGACCTGCTCAGGCATTGAGGGCAAGTCTCAAGAAAACTGGCAGGAATCCGGACTTGGCGAGTGGTTCGTCGCTTTGTATGTTTTTCCTTTCAAGATCCGAGCGAGGGGATTTAGGCCTTTATGCCTAACAAAGATTCTAGAGCCAATGCGGAAGATAAGTACGAAAAAGATATCCAAAAGACGATACAGTCATGGGAAGGAGATAACTCGAGCCTCTACGGCTTTTATTGTTCTCCTATGAGCCACTGTGATGTGAACTTCGATAAGGACCAATGCGTCAGCGAAGAACATCCTTTGCGACCTCGCCTATACTTCCTAATGTGGTCAATCGCCAATCTTAACAATTGGATGGTATCACTTTTGACTGCAGTTGACCACACAGCTGGTGTTGCTGACGGCTTGGCTGCTACCTTGGTCGACACATTTTCTACAAATGTGGAGAACGTGGTACGTAAAAGCCCTAAAACCATCACCACCCTCGCCACCCTCAGTCATGCGCAAGTCTCTAACTACAGTCCTAGCCTCTCGACACTGCCGGCTCTTCCCTAGCTGCTGGTATTCTGGGTAGTCTTGCTGGGATTGTACCCGCAGCCTCTGCGGTCGGGGGCTTCGGCAGTGGGCTTGCGACCATCGCAGGTGGCATTATCACGCTTATCAATGATAGACAGCCGACCGAGTTGTAAGTTGGCCTTTTCTTAATCTAGGAATTGTTAATATGTCTGATAATTTCAAATAGGGAACCTAAGTTTAACGACTTTACCGAAATCACGAAGTATATCGCCAAGGCTTCGGAGACCATGCAAAACAGCATTGAGACATATGCTCAGTGGCTTCTGACAGAAACACCATCAAACGACCGCTCTAATGGAGTCTTTTACGTCGACGATCCTAAATCTCTCCCAAATATCCTTCTAGATGGCGATTTTGCCGAGCCAAGAACGGTGGAAAATCTTCCAGACGGCATCTACGTGTCGTTGTTTAGCGCTGCAGTTTCCCTTCTCTGGAAAGGAGAGCATGCTAGCGTCGTCAAAGTTCCTCACGATAAGAGTTCTTTGAGCATACCTCCCTGTGAAGATGAAAAGATGTTCAATGGAAACAAGTGGTGCGACGGTGAGGGAAACGCTTATTTGTTACTCGGCTGGGATAATGGTGTACGCAGATACCCCTGGGAAGATGGCCTCGTGGAAAATTTCAAGGATCTCAAGGGCGTGGACAAGCTTGGGGACTACAAGCTTAGCATTGAGATTGTGGTTAAGGCATCCGAGCATGCAGCCTCAGTGAATGGTGGTGCTCCATACTATGAATGGGACACCAACAGAGTGATTGATCACATGGGCAACGATGCGCAGAATATGGCATCATTTTCTGGCTTTAACCTGCCTTTCTGCGAACTTTCCAGTACTTCTGTTGGGCTTAATGTGCATGACTGCGATGGCGAGGTAAGAACTAGCAGTTCAATCAATTTTTGTGCTACTAACATCAGCTTCTAGTGTCAAATTATGTGGGCCATGAAAAATTGCTTCCAGGGAACAGATTATGACAAACTTGGGTTTGACGTAATTCTGTTCACCGAAACGTGTGAAATCATAGATTGCCCTAAAGCATGTATGGGTGGCTTTGTTGGGTGTTAGTGAACTAGGCTTGGGAAATTCCCTGGTCGTGGAGGGAAATCAGGACGTGTAGTATGACCTGCAGGCTAGACAAGAGAGTGATAGGAATTTAATTTCTGGGAGTCAAAGGCATCCTGTACAAGCCCCCACACATGTAGAGAAATTCTACTTAAATGATCCTCTATTATAGTTCCGCCTTTTCGGTGAGCTCTCGGATAGTCTATTATAAAGCTTCGAGGGTTTCCTCCGTTTAATCAGGTTCTTTTAGAGTCTGTATCTCCTATAGGGTTTAAGACTCAGTGTCGTGTAATCTATGCCGATCCGTCACCGATCTGAGGTGGATGCTCAGGAGTTTCAGTATCGTTTCTGGTGCTGCGGCGGGGAGGCATTATATCTCAGGCAGTTGAAAAAGAAGAATTAGAATTGTAAGAGTATACAGTTTTCAGGTGTAACGCCTGTCAACCGGGTAAGATACAATGACTTAGAGAGGAATGAAATTGGATTGTCTGTGTGTGCCAAGACTAATTCTTGCCAAAAGGAAGAGGGGATTCAGGGGAATCCCCTACTGCCACGCTCACGTGGGAGCCATGTGACGATTCCTTGGCGATTCATTCCTGATACTTGACCGATGCGGTCAGGTGACTCCGCCTCCATGTTGTGAGGATCTTTATCCGTTACAAAATTGCAAGTATTTGCTATTTTACTACTATTGTATGGAGCGTTTACTACGAAGGCGATGTGGGAGGCGGTAAACTATGGACTGAAATATCAGGCAGGGGGAGGGGTGAGATTAACCAAGGGGGGTGTAATTATCAATCCCATATATATATATACCAAAAGTTACCAAAATTGCTCAATTCCCTGCTAGCTCTAGGTTTTGTGTTCCCACATTTGTGGCCTAATCATCTACTGAAGAAGTTGTATCAAATAGAATTGATTAAGAGTCAATCTAGTGTCTATACTAACGCCTTCTTACGCCTTATTGCATGTTCAAGCTGCGGCCTGCGTAGCTTGGTCGACCGGCGAGACATCCCTCACACACTTAACCCATTCGCTAATATCTCTCACGAATTAGCGTGCGATACCTATCATAAAACCCTTTATCGATGAAAAATGACGGATCTTAGTCCTCATGGATCATTCTAAGGTCTAAGCCATTGGCTAACGCCACATTGCATGTTTGCCGAGATTAGGCTTTCAAGCTGTCATCACTAATATTTACTTCATGCTGTAGTCTCTGATAGCCACGTCTCGCAGTCTAGGAAGAATGAGGTCATTCATGACTTGGCCTTTTAGAGGTATAGGCATGGTTAAGGCCGCGGTTAGGTTGGACTCTTCTGATTAAGGGAAAGGTTGCATCCCATTGAAATTAATACTTATAGGAAGACAGCTTCCTGTGCTGCCGATCATCTTGTTGTTCTTGGATTATTGGCTCTCTAGTCTGTGCCGCTCCTCCATATATAGCTCTTCACGAAAATTGTCCGGAACGTCCTCATGAGACTATAAGGTGGCGCCTTTCTCCACAAGGGCAATTAGACGCTTTAAATGATGGCTCCTCAATCCATAGTGTTTTTTCCCATGTGGGTCTTGCCAGCAATGTGGGCCAAGGTGGCATGAGGAGGATGGGCAACGCATCAGGTTGTAAACACTCCGCCAAACTGATTCTTGCCCAGATGCGTTTTCTTCGGCATCCAATTGGGCGTCTCTCTCAATGAGCATTCGTTTGGTGACCGATGACCTTCCTCTTTTTTCGACCCTACCTGAGGTAGTTTTGGAGAGACGGTCGTCCTCGAATAGCCCGATTGAAAGAACTGACCTAGTCGCAGTGACCCCATGAACACTTGAAATTGCGCTTGCTGGTAGGAGCTGTAGGAGAACTCGTTGACTGATATGCATGGCCATTTTCTTTGAAAGCGGATATGACGGTCATCGATCAGAGCGATTGGTAGAGCGATAGCCGGCATCTAAGCTCGGAACATAACATGGAAAGAAAGAAAATAGTGCTGAGAGAATGGAAGAGATTGGAGAAGAAGGGAGATTAGATCTGCTGCTGTCATTAAATGTTAGTCCTGAATGAAGTTGGGAAGATCGACTCTTGATATGTTGCCCCGCTTGAGGGAGCTATTAATTTCAACATTGGACGATGCGTTGGAGCTGTTCAGGGACCATACAATTTTCTCTTCTGGATATCCTTTTTTAAAATGGCATTTGCAGCATCTTTAGCCATCTCTGGGGTAGATGATGTATGCGCACTTAGGGGAAATTTTGTACACCTGACAGAGTTGGTCCCACCTCTCTCATTTTGTCGGTATTATTTATTGTCTTGCCTTCTTATTGTGGGATATTTATGGTACGGCCATTAGGGTGGCTCGAGTCATCCAAGTTCAAAGCAACATTGTCATGCGTTCCGTTTACCCAATTATCATGCCACTTAAATCGCGCGACGTCAAATGATGCAAGACGAGTTTTATAGGCACGTAAACCCCGCAAAGACCAGAAAAGTTCTCTGGTTCGGGTAGCTCATTGGACACAATCGGCGATCGTACCATTCATGAAGAACCCGTCGACGTAGGTAAAATGAATTACATCACCACAAGAATGGCATTCTGGGGTAATATATAAGGAAGTTGATATTCTAAAATGAATTTTAGTTTTACTTCTACCTTTTTTTCCATCATTTATCATTACTTCATTACTTCATTTGCGATATGGACAAGTACAATTCACGGTGGGTCTCGTTCCACATTCGGGACCATATCAATGATGGCGAGATCCTAGTGCAGAACACTGTCATTGAAGGGTATTTATGATTTCTAGGGATTTACCAGATCTCTACTAACATCCGGTAGTGGCGAATTCATCGACCCCAACAACCGCCGCAAGTCGCTCACTGAAGAGGAGGTCGACGAGATTAAGATCTCCCCCGATGGCGTTGGCGAAATCGGCGCTAGCGGACGTCGGGGTAGTGAGGGCCGCCTCGACTTATTTCATGACAATGACAAGATTTGCGAGCTCCACTGGGAAAATCGGGGTGGAGAATATGCAAACCTGGTTGAGGTGTTGGATAAGAGCGACAAGTACACTGTCCGACATGGGGGATGGAGTCATGAGGCCGGTCCACTGGGACACGTCTTTGTCGATGTGGAGAAGAAGCAGTAATTACGCTCCACAGGCTGCAACAACTCCCGGGCATGGGAGAGCGTTGCGGTCGGTGGAGCAGTGGCAATATTTGGGGAAATGTCTCAATACAGTACAAAAACCTAAAAATACCAAAATAATTCAAAATTTCGAAAATCAAGAGTTGGAATGCGCATTTGTCATTCAGCATTCCAGTATGACTTGAAAAAGAAAACGAGGATAATTTCATTTATCGCGAACACGAGCCACGTCTGATCGCGGTTAATAACATAGAATGGTCTGATTGCTTCGGCCGTCTATCATGCCACTAGATAGACCCGGACATCCCATATAGACACACAAAATTCAAAAGTGGATGAATTCTTCCGGATAGAACGACGCACCCACGCGAAATAAAGGTGGAATATGACGCATCGCTGGCTCAGCGATAGGGAATATGAATGTGGGAATCTTACGCCGTGTGATACTATTTAGCAACGGTGGGACCGAGAAGGAGAAGGGATCAAAAGAATCAACAGTGAAAGCAGCCTAGAAACGAGTAATATAGCTGAATTTTGGATTGGGCCCTGAGTCTGCATCTAGCAATTTCATAACCAAGTAACATATGAATAATAAAAGATCAAACTGTGAACAGGCAGCTAAGAGTGCCTTTTGTGAACCAGACCTTATCTTTTCTCCAGCCGTGGACGATCAAATCTCTTCCTACCTTCACCACCTCCTCAATTTGCTTCTGACTGCCCCATCCAGGGACTCTGCTTCCCAAGGAAATCAGGTGCACACCAACGTGAATCGCAGTGCGGAATGCCATTTCATCGTTAAGGGGCCCATATCCATCCAAGAACCCTTGAATCATCCACACTCCACCGTCCACATTCTTAAACAGCTTGGTTTCATACAGCTCAGCAATCATTTGGCCCAAGTCTAGTGCACGGCTTCCAATCTGCGACATCTCCCAATCGACAACGAACATAGTCGTCTCAGACTGATGACTGAGAGGAACGTTTGGAAGAAGAACACTAGAAATGACGTTAGTAACCTGACTTAGTCTATAGAGACCAGATCTAAGAGAGCATACTTCCCAGTCCAGAAGTCACCGTGAATAATGCCATATCCATCATCATGGCTCGTTCGCTCAAGCTCGGTCGCAGCGAGGTCACGAATTTTCTCAAAAATATCACGATACTCCTCTAAAATACCGGGGAAACTTTCAATGGTGTCCAGAAGTAGAGTGTAGTTCACCCAGAACTTCAAATCTTTCATCACTTTATTCGCGCCAATCTTTTTTGTGTGCTGTTCCTCGGTCGTCCAAAGATGAAACGATCTTAACCAGGATCCAAGGGCGCTGCCTAGGTCTCGCCCTAAGGATTCGGGCAAGTCACGAGAAACCTCTGAAAGTAGGAAGTTCTTAAGATCGATTGAATTGGGAAGATCTTCGACCACCTGGGTGTCTGTGTCCCGATTGAAGTCCAATAGGCGCGGTGATTTAACGGTTATTTTACCACTTATACACATTGATAGGCCATCGAGAGCTCGAAGAATGGCTTCCTCGAAGTGCTAATTTAATATCAGTATAATTCGAAGCGAAATCATTCAATGGAGTGCAAGAAAGCAACTAACGCATCTCGTGATATCGATTTTGAAATTTGGGTTAGAGGCCGAGTGATCTTTGGTGTGCTTGATGATGATAGACTGTCTAGTTGAGGACAGTATGCCTCGATAGACAAAGTTGGCTGTACCTCCGGACAGGCGCGTGAGCGAGGAGCAAGCGAAGGGAGTAGGGGAAAGTTGCTGCGCAATTTTGTCCCGTGTTTGATCACGCTCATTTGTATTTGCCATGCTGTATGACTTGCTTAAGTAGAAATTGTAAAAGATTTAAGGCTGCGCGTTCACTCGAGTGTTTCCCCTAGGCCTTGAATGCGCTAGTCCATATACGGTCCCCGCGACCAGATCATGTGATCGGATGTCTTTCGACAGTAACTATTCCACGACATATTCCTGCCAGGTATATGGATTTATGGCGATTTAATTGGCGGAAGATTGGGTCAGGCTCGGGTATATGGGCTCCCAATATACCTAACTTCCTGTGCTCCGTTAGTCGAAAATTTTATACAGTTCTATTGCGATGATAAATTTAGGACCAGTAGCTGCCCGGGAAGGTGAATATGATATCGGAATACGATAAATTACGTGGTTGGGACAGGTATTATTACCCGGAAAATCATGTGGCCATTGGTACTCGACATACCATACAAAAGTGCATAATTTAGTCATCTATGTCCGCAAAGATTATTGAAAAAGCGGGTTTTGTCATTTTAGTTGGAGTCTTCAATATCTGCCATTCATACCATACGTTATTCGTATGCCTGGTTTCTGTCAGAGGAATTACGTCCTGTCTACTGTATACCGGCGTTGAAAAATGCCTTCCTCGGTTGTAATCTGACAGAAGTCTGACGATGTGAAATGTATGGTATGAATGAGTACATTGGAACTCTCTGACTAGCAGTAAAAACAGGATGAACGCGCGGATATAAATAGGCAAAATCACTAGTCAATACTGCACTTTTGGTCGGCTATACCATTTCGACTGTCGGCTCAGGGAATGGGAGAGGACGGGAAGATAAAAAGGAGCGCGACAAAGCTATTGATAGCCAGAAGCCCCGTGCTCCTATGAGGAATCATGTTTCTTTATAACCTCTGCTCAGAGAGTGGGAGCTGGTTGAGATGTGGATACTGAAGAGACGGTGAAATCGCGGGCTAATCTAGAATCCACCTTGATTCTTATGGCCCATGGACTCTTCTGCGCTCCTTGATAATCTGGTCGCTGTATGAAAGGCAAAAGTTTACCATGACTCTGGCGAAATGGTGCATGTCCTGGGCGTCATCAATACGCCAGGGCCCGTATTCTCGCATTTTGAGAAACGACGTGGGCTCCGGGTCCCCGCCCTCTATTGCTTGGAGATACTCAACGTATGCCTGTTCACATTCGGCCAACGTTAAGTAAATCTCTCCTGCATCCTGCGATACCAACAAACGTCTTCTTTAAGTCAGCAAGGCAATATGGAATAGCAGTGAAGCGGAAGGAGAGCTTGCTTACTTATCAAGTGGACATTGTCGGGCATTCGTATCCGTCATGATCCACGCAACCATTTCCGCTGCTTCTTGCCATAGGACTAAAGGCTGATGCTTTCGGTCTCGACTCGCCGCTTTTGCCTCAACAATGGCGAACGTTTCATCAACAACAATCCCTTCAAGATAGCCATCCGTGCAAGCCGTCAATTCGTTTTGTGCAAACTGTAGAGTTGCGAACGGTCTTCGAGCGGAGGTCCATCGGCAGGCTATATCAGGAATGTTGAGGGTAAGAGCCCTTAACAGTTCCGTCAGCGCCTCGTTCACAATCTGTTCATCCTTGGATCTCGATGGGACTATCCATGACGCATAGGTCGTGGCGGTCCCCGACTGACCACTGGTGCTGAGAGGAAGCTGGCACGGGGAAGGGGCCGCTGCGGTGGGCCTCGGTGCCTCTGTAGCTCCAGAAACAGCTAGATGAGTAGTCGATCCCGCTGCTGGCCGACTCTGCGAGCCGGGCTGCGAAGATGGGTCTTGGCTGGATCGCGGTCGGAAAATTGGAGGAGCCGTTGGAGTCAGATCACTAACATTAGCCTTGTGTCCCAAGGCTTGTAGCTGGGAGTCTCTCACCAGCTGGAAGGCCCCAAGGTTCCTGTCTTCTTTGCCAACACTCTTCTTGGACTCGGTGATATACGCGATATAGGATTCAAACGCGTTAAAACCACTCAGTATTTTCTCGGTGCGATCTTCGAGGGCTTTTTTCACCGGTATCTTCTCTGCCTTCAGACGTCTAGGACGCAGCACTCGCATTGCTAGGTATTCCCTGATCGACATTTTTGAAGCTGAAGGCAGCACGTCCAATGTGCTGAGGGTCAGGCTCAAGACTCCCTCCTTTTCAGCTGCAATTTTCCAGTCCGACACGTTCTTTGGCAAGTTATGTGCGATATTTTTAGTCATATCGAGTGGTAGTGGATCAATACGATACTTGAAGGAGGAAGGAGGGCAAAGCTGGGTGGTTACAGGTGTCTGTAGAGGACAGAGTCTAGCAAGAAAGAAATATTACGCGTGTTCTCAGTGGCCTTGCGAGGGAAGGAAGTCTTATCCTTTAAGCCGAACGCATTGGCAAATCTGATTCGATTTTGTCGACTACTCGGTGGCTCCTTCCACCAGCGTAGTTAAATCAATCTCTTCACCGTCTTCGCTCGTAACTTCTCTCACTCTTTTGGTGGCATGAATCCGTAACTAGCCAAAAAGCAATCTTTAACATTGAAATATGAAAATATAATGTTAAATCTAGAGCCAGATCACTACACAAGCTCTGGAAGGATAGGTGGATCCACGTCCATGTGTCCATCGACACTATGTCTAAGCACCCGAAATGGAAGAACCGATCCTCTTAGTCCGACAGGGAGACTCATTATGTAGCGAAGAAAAAGCTCCACCAAGGCCTCAGTCTCGTCCTCAAAGCTGAATGGTTTAGAATACTGTATAATCAGCCGTTCTCCATCGAATGTAGCTTGCGTGATCCTCCCGTGCCTTTGGCCCATGTATGAGATCAGCAACAGCTACATATAGTATAAACAGTGTTAGCCCTATTTTCTAGTGTAGTCTAGAATGCTACTGACCGGCTGGATCTCATCTCTCCAGAAAGGGCCACGCGCTTCCCGACTCCACATCAGGCCAACTAGGCATTTGACTTCATGGAGGGTGATGCTTCGGTCGGCAAAATTGGCGGGAACTGCCGCAGTCATTATTGCAATCGCGTGCGGGAGATCTTTTTCTGATGGGTCTTCCCTAACGTCCTCGAGCTCCCATGCGAGCTCAATCTCTGGTTGGCGACTTTCTTCCATGTAGGACTCCCGGATATCTGACCTAGTATAAGTGAGCATCCGTGAAATTTATCCATATCGTGTCGAGTCAAGTCGACGCGCTTACCTTCCGCCCCAAAGATGAGTTAACTCCTCGCCTGCCTTGACACCATGTGGTAGACCAACTCTCTGGGCGCCGAGTTGCTCATCAATGTAGCAAATTATGTCGCTCGCATTACCTAACCAGTCGTCCAAAGACTTTAGTTCGGAATAATACTCCATAATCGTAAGCTTGAGGGTAAGCTCTGAAAATGCTTTTTGAGATTTCGGCAGTAAAGGAGGGTCAGGGGGGTAACCATCGGTGGAATCACTTCCTCAGTCGGAAATTCGAGGATATTCACTTGGTTCGGTAGAAAGAAACATGGTTGAAACTGCAGAATGCCATCTAAAACACCGATTTGTGAAGCTTGGATTCCACACATTTGTAGATAATCAGGATCAAGAAAAAATGTCTCGCAGGCCATGACTCGTCGATATATATTATTTAATAGTTCTCTTCGTGCCTTGGGAGTTCCTTGGTCCATTTCGCGTGGGAATGCCTATGGGTGGTCTGAGATGGTCAAGAGCAATCAGTTGTCAGATGGAAGATGAGGCGAATGATGGGGGAAGAACCTGGGGAGGGGAAGTCCGAAGGTGCCAGGTATGTCACATCTCCCTTGTCGAGGATAAGATAGTGACGTTATACGGCGGTCGATACCTAGTGACGTGGTTATAACGAGACGTGGAACATGGCAACAATAAGAACAATGTAATGGGCCCATCCGTTGCCATCAAGCAAAATTTTGAGGATTTCAGAATAGAGCCAGTCAAGAATGCACTGTCCTCGTTGTCATCGAAAAGGTGAGGGCGGACCTGAGCTCTGTTGGCATGGTGTTCAGCCCATTCTTGAGCGGCCTTTCTAGTGCCTCCCGAGGTGACGGAACAGGCCAGATATTGGGAGTTGTTCGAATTTTAGATGTTCGCGGTAGCATGCCTTGCGAGACAATGGAGATGCATATCATGAATCTGGTAATGATGGATTCTTGTACGCAACTGTCGATCGTGGCGGTTGCCCTGATTAACCAAGAAAGTTTAGTTGAGATCATGCTGCCACAGTCAATCAAAGAGCTCCGGCTGGCACCAAGAATTGCCAACCAGTCCGGTGCAGAGATCAATTGCCAGGTTGTCTACAAGGGAATTTCACATAATTCCGTCCACCACGACATGATGGCGTGGAGTGCCGGCGCTACGATATCAGAATTCCGCATTTGGCAGTATCAAACAGTTTTTGTAGAACGACCCGCATACAAAGGCCGTCGCTACCGACAACCATGGACTTTGTTATGAATACTAGATGTGAATTTGACGGAACAGCAGGAAACCATAGACTACCTTCACCAGGCTTGTGAGAACAATGGAGCCTGCAAGCGTGAGAACGTAAAGGATTCGTCAATGAGTTGGATCAGGTGATCGTAATCCTTGTCCAGAGAGCTCTGTCCAGTATCCAAGCACTTAGCTCCTCCTCTTTGCCACCTCATCTCGGAAAGTACCTTGCCTCGCTTCAAGGGATGCACCACCGTTTGCTGATAAATCCAGACTCTTCGCAAAACCAAGACATAATAATTCAACATGCTGCTTCTACCTCCGTGGAAGGTGAGCTGATGTCATGTGTTGCAAGCCATCTACTGGATCATAGATAGCCAGGTTGATCTTTTCCACCTTTTATCTCGGGATGGCCTGTTCGATCGCTTCTACGCGGAATACCAGTCGTTTCAGCTCATAAAAGAGTTACTCCTCGCATACGGCAACATCTATGGGCATCGAACAGGAGAGCTGAAGGCTCCGAAGTTGGAGCTGATAATAGTGCAAGTACCAAGGCCGTTCTCCCGGGTCTAGCAACTAGCCGGTACATTTAAACGGACAAATCGACAGCGTTATTTGCCAAGGCAGAAAAAGCTCTTGCTGCATGGACAGACTCAATTGAGTACCGCAAATCCAATATCACGCAAGGCCTCCCGGGCAAAATTTGGAGTGTTCATTTGACCTTATTGTGGCTGTAGATGTAGTCCATGCAGCTCCAGATGCTAGTCATGCCTCGCAAAACCTCGAGCCATTGTTAGAGGAGTCCGGATAGCTGATTATGGTGAAAATGTGCAAAATAGATGTTCTCCTCTGCCCAGCTCGTCTCCGGCCTAAACCCAGGATGGTGGTTAAGCAAGGGAGAAAGCCGTAAAGCCGACCCTCTGCAGCCGGCTGCTTGGTGGTCTGAGATACTGAAAGTGTCAGGCTGCTCTGAGGCTGAGCTCTCTATTGGTGATTCTGCGACTACGGCAATTTCGGAGCGCACTTTGATAATTGCTGCTCTTCTTGGCCCAGTTAGGGATGTCAAGCCATGATCAGAGATACAAGCGGCACCGATGTTTGTGACGCCATCTCAAGTAAACGAGATTGCCGAAGCGCTTGGTACGAGTCTAGCCTCGCCTAGGAATAGGGCTTAGCTATTGCCATACCCGAGACAGTGAGCCTTCAACATGGTGCCGGATTCCCAATTGTCTATGCCGCAGTGTTCCACTATTTGGTCGAGGTTACGCGTTTGAAAGAAGGGGAGTTGATTTCAATCCATGCAGCAGCAGGCGGCGTAGGACAGGGAGTTCTAATGCTCGCCAACCGCGTCGGGGCTCGAGTCTTTACAACCATTTCTTCTGAATCCAAGAAGAAGATTCTACTCGAGTACGGTGTACGCGAGGAGGATATCTTCTACAGCCGCAACCTAGATTTCACGCAGATGATCCTGCAACAAACCAGTCAGCGTAGAGTAGACGTCGTCTTGAACTTGTTGGCAGGCGAGGCTCTTCGGATGATATTTGAATGCATGGCCCCATGTGGTCGCTTTATCGAGATTGGTAAACGCGGCTTAATAACAACGGATGCCTTGATATGGCACCCTTTCTCCACAGTGTGACCTTTGCCGCCTGTGATCTTAACACCATCCTACAACATGACCCGTTCGGGCATATACTCCTCTTGAAGGGGTCGTAGAACTCTGGAAACATGGTGTCTTTTGACCAACGTCTCCTTTCACAATGTTCAAATACTCCCTGTTGGAAATGTCGTTCCGTTAGCCCCAGTAAACAGAGCGAGCGGCAAGGTGGTATTGGCCATAAGTGATGATGGTGTTGTCCAGGCTCTTCCATCGCTCTCGCTGCCATATCAATTTTTCCAGAAAATGTGACATATCTGGTCAGCGGTGGTCTTGGTGGTCTCGGTCGGAGTGCAGCGCGGTGGGTGGCATCTCGTGGGGCAAAACACTCCCTGTTCCTCTCAGGATCCGGTGGCCCCAATGCAGATGCACAGCTCCTACTTAACGAACTGAAAGACGCCGGGTACTATGAGCAAATCCTGCAGGTTGATATTAGTGACTCGGTTGCCTTGAATCAAGCGATCAGAGCTCATACGGAAGCAATGCCCCTTATCCGATGTTGTATTAAAAGTGGGATGACATTGTCGGTAAGTCCCCATACCGTAAACCTCCATGGTGTCCGGTTTTACTGATGATAGTTCTTGGCAGGATTCTACCTTTGAAACAATGACATCAATTTTCTTTGAAGCTAGTATTAGGACCAAGGAACGCGGGTCATGGAACCTCTACGAGATGCTTCCACGGGATCTCGACTTTTCCCTCTTCCTGTCTTCATGTGCTGGTGTGATCGGGAACCGTGGCCAAGGCAACTACAACGTAGGTAACACGTTCCAAGACGCCCAAGCTCACTACCCTCAATCTCGGGGACTGGGTGGTAACTCGCTTGACCTAGTTCATATGCTTGACATTGGTGTTATTGCGGAACGAATGGACAATTTATTCACAGCATCCCTCCGAAGCCGTATTAGGGAACCAAGTCGTTCCGCAGGACGAGTTCCATGCTCTGTTGGAGTACCATTGCAATGTGCAAAACTCAGATGTGTGTCCACGAACTGGGGTTGGACTTTGTACTCGTGAACAGTTCTATGCAGACAACTTGCCAGAGCCTGCCTTCCTGTCCTATCCCCTATTCACCCATCTCTGATGCTTCGGTGGATCCAGGGGAAGTCAGGGCAATACTGCGGATGGTGCAAAGTTATCAATCAAGGGGTCATTGGACAAAGCCCGCCAGGAAAAAGCACTCCAGATTGTGGTTGAAGGGATCATTGAGAAATTGTCCAATTTATTGGCCATATCTGCCACCGAGATTGACAGCGAGACGCCCTCTTCAAGGTATAGCGTTTATTCCCTTGTAGCTATTGAGATTCGCAAGTGGCTGTCAAAGGAGGTAGATATGGAGTTTGAGGTGTTGGATATTGGGCAGTCAGTCGATTGTCGATTTAAGCGAGCCGGTGCTCGAAGCTAAGGGTTAAAGATGAGAATGGGGGGATGATGGGATGAGAGAGAGATCTCATGTAAGGAGCCACAAGAAGGCCTGGAGGGGAAGGGGAGAGCAGGGATATAGCATTGTTATAGCATATGGAAACATCTCAGGTTGAGAGAAGAAGCTACGGAGTACGGAGTATACGGGTATGTAATTCCGCAAGGGTTGACTAGTTAGTTATAGGGTTGCTACCCCCCCTCCCCCCTATACTATTACATAAGACACAGGTTCTAACCACTAGGCCAAAAAGGTCATAGCCAGATCTGGGCATGACCAGATCTGTCCGTAACAATATTATACCAGGCCCCTAAAGCCTTGGGGAACCACAGGTAGTGAACAACAGGTCACATGACCAGCATATCCAACCCTGCGGTCTATATTACAGGTTATTTCACAACATAAACGTGTAAATTTTATAAGAAAGAATATTCTATAGTATTTAGAATTTTTGAATCCAGGAACTTTACATTGCCTTGCATTGTTACAGGGTTCTAGCTCCAGGACCCGGAAACGTCTTAGATAACCCTTTTTATCCGCCCACCTACTTATCTCACTCACTCTCACTCACTCTCACCTCCTCTTTACACACACACCCATCTCCAACATCTTCCCAACCTCTCTTGACTTTTTTTTCCTCGTACACTCACTGGACACATGAACGATGCAACGTCCTGAGGCTTCGAGCCCCGATGCGCTCGTTGGCCTGCCATCAACCCTGCGAACGCTGATAGGCAATCCGACGACGTCACCGATTGGCTTTGTCTCCTCATTACCATTACCAACACCCATACAAAGTGATCCATCACTTTCGCAGCAACAAATCCAAGCGAAGCTACAGAATGTTCTCTCTTCTTTGTCCATGGAGTTCCGTCCTGAGCGTGTGCTGGCAAGTGGCAACTCGACCGGGTCGACCGGCAAAGGCATCTTGATTGGCATCTTGTCCGCATTTGGCTCAGCTGCCGTCGCATTTGTTGTTCTAGCGATCTTTTTCTTCTTCAAATACACCCGCCCCGGGCGGATTATGCTCGATCGCATTGGCAGGCCCGGTGAATATGACGACGAGCAAGCGTTTTTGCGCGAAGAAGAGGCGGCTCTAGAGTCGATGGATGACTTGGCGCGATCGGAATACTTGCGAGCAAAAGGTAAGACTGGAGATGAATCTGCGTATGAGTCGTTTTGGTCATTTTACTAACGATCTACAGCTTTTGTCCAAGGAAACCCGCCCGAGTCCGTCCAAACCGATATCTCCCTATCACAATTCCTCGCGATCCAAGAAAAAGGTGTATCTGCCTGGGAATTCCAGCCAGAGTTGGAAATTGCAAATTGCTTTGTGGAAGGACGAACTGAAATTGAGTTCTTTGACTCAGAGTGTAGTGTACAGACCAACTTGCCAATCCCGAAGCAGAACGATGTCTACTACTGGGAGGCGAAGATATACGATAAGCCGGACTCGACCATGATCGGCATCGGAGTGACTACGAAACCATATCCACTGTTTCGAATGCCCGGTAGGTGTTGCAACAAAAGTGTTTCTACCGAGGAATTCCTGCTGACAACCGCTAGGCTTCCATAAATCCTCCGTTGCCTACCAATCTACGGGACATCGCAGACTCAACCAACCATTTAATCCTACCCCATACGGCCCTCCACTTCTTCAGGGCGATGTCGTTGGTGTAGGCTACCGACCTCGGTCTGGCACCATCTTCTTCACACGCAACGGCAAAAAATTGGAAGACGTGGCTCACAACTATCGCTCACAAAACCTCTTCCCCACCATCGGTGCTAATGGGCCTTGCACTATCCACGTGAACTTTGGCCAAATGGGATTCGTGTTCATCGAAGGCAACGTCAAAAAATGGGGGTTGGCCCCCATGACGGGCAGCCTCGCTCCGCCCCCACCCTATGGCAGTGAACAAGGCAGCATTCTACTAGAGTCAGGCCGGGAGAGTGCGGCTCAAATCTCTCAGCGCGTCTACCAAAATGCGAATTACGCGGCCTCCATCTCAAGTGTTAGGATTCCTGCGGCGCCCAGTCCCGGTCCTTCTCGATCACCCACTGACATTTCCCTCGCTCAGCTGACGCATATTCCTTCTCATGAAGATGCTGGCGAGGGGTCCAGCCGTTTTGCTTTGGCCGATGCAGAGAGCAATGATGCAGCAGCTCCTAGTAACCAGGAGCAGGAGGCTCCGCCCCCCGAATATTCTAGTCCCGACGGCAGTCGTAGGGGCAGTGATGCCTCTCTTGACCGCCCACCTAGTTTCCGGGCTTCAGAGGAACTCCACTCTCCTTCAAATGACTCCATGGATTCTGGTGGTCAATTTCTACCCAGTTACCAGACTGTGGTGGAGAGAGACTTGAATGAACACAACTCAGAGGCCAACGATCGGTCCTGATGCAACATCTATCCTCCCCCTTTGCTTTTGCACATAACCTCGTGGCGCACGGGGGGCTTTGTCTGATCATTTGTTTGTTTAATTTAGCGGGCGCACGGAAGGCGTTGTAATAATTGGCGAAGGCAACTTGGGTTTTTATGGGCTTTCTATCTGGATTGGAACGGCCTTGGTGTCCCTATCATCCCTGACCCTGGGAATGAATTCATGTAGGGCACAATCGTTTTGCTCCCTTTTTAACCGCATACCCTCTTTTATGTTAAATATGTATATCCATTTGAAATTCGACAGAATCCAAGTCCCGGTGTAATATAAAAATAGGTGTATAATACAAGATCGTAGCGTGGACGTCAACTTCTAAACATCCTATTCTCCAAATCTCACGATCTGATATCAGATCGCGGCCCCGTCCCCACTAGAGTCCACTCTCCCTCCAACCATCACCGTCCCGAAATATCCTCCAATCGGCATTGTTTGATCTACCAAGGGGAAACTCCCGAAATCCGGAGTTCCCTTTGTGACCAGCCTCTTTCTGTTTCTCTCTCGACTCAGCTTCCTAGGCCTACTCTGTGTATGATATTTAATTTTGAACTGAATACCTGTGCCATCACGTCGCGACCGGGAGGGTTTTTTTTTTCTTTTCTTTTTTCCACGGTCTTTATTAGCCTCTCATATCCGTTTGATCCATTTGAGCCTGAAACATTCTATCGCTGAGACCCGCCTATTGGCGACCAGACGCGCTCGGGCAGCTTCACTGGCTCTTGGGCTGTAGTCTAACTTATTGTTCGTGTCTCACATGTCCATGGGCGAGACAAGTGGAACAATGGCCGAGAAAGCAGCATTCCAAGTCATTGTCTTGGTAAGTTAGAACCCGTTAATTTGTTTCCTCTTGCAAAATTCATCACGTGCATGGCCATGTGTCAAGCTTGGATATTCTGCTTTTTTTTTTTTTTGCCCTCGAACCCGATGGCGGGTTCTAGCAGATGGAACACCTTGAGACTCTCTACTCTTGCTAGATGCTGACTCCCTTAGGGCCCGACTGGTGGACCCCGCGAAGATAGCGTCACGGGCATTCTTGTCCGGTCAACGGCAACGAAATGGTCTCCAAATTCGGTGGTAGCCGTTGATGCAGGTACCCTTCTTGCAGGCATCATTCGATTACTGGAGCGATACATCCCCGAATGCAAGGATGAGCAGGGGATGATGACAAGTGGACCTTTTCGGGGGCTTGAGCTGCCCTGCAGAACAGCACAGGCAAATGCAGCTCATGTATTTCGAGAAATCATTGGTGCCGTTCTTATCACGCACCCTCACCTAGATCATATCTCAGGGTTGGCCATTAATACCCCGATTCTGGAGGCGGGTAATGGACCAAAGCCTGTGGCTGCTTTACCCTCTGTGCTATCCGCTCTCAAAAATCACATGTTCAACGATGTCATCTGGCCTAACCTGTCGGACGAGGATGGCGGGGCTGGGTTGCTCACATATCAGCGCTTGGTGGAAGGTGGAAACCCTCGTTTCGGTCGTGGAGACAGTAGAGGCTATGTCAGGGCTTGCAATGGCCTATTGACAAAATGCTTGAGTGTTAGCCATGGCCGGTGCAAGCAGCGATACCATCCAGAAAGCGGGACGCACCATCGAGTCGGGAGTACCGTCTTTTCTGATCATCAGTTGATGCTACCTTCCAGAGCAATTTCGGTGGACCATACCGATGGCAGGTAAGCTAGAGAGTCTGCAGTCCTTAGATGAATTTTCTTAACCATTACCAGTTTCTATTCCCCCGCTCGGTCCCCACGTATACTCCCATCCAATCCCAAAGAGCCACTAATGGCAACAGTCGAGAGTTCCGCCTTCTTCTTGCGTGACCATCACACCGGCTGCGAGATCATTGTCTTTGGTGACGTCGAACCCGACTCAGTCTCCATGGGAACTCATAACAAACGAGTTTGGGAAGCCGCCGCACCGAAGATTGCCACGGGCAAACTACGAGCGATCTTCATCGAATGTTCCTACAATGACAGCACTGACGACTCATACCTGTACGGCCACATGTGTCCACGACATCTAGTATCCGAGCTCACCATGTTAGCCAACCGAGTCATGGAAGTGCGGGATTTGAACACGGGCGAGAAAAAGCGCAAGCGTGAACCCGTAGCCCCCGTCGAGAGCGGCAGCGAGCAAGTGAGCCCAAAGTCCAAACGGACGCTAAGCTCCTCTGCCGATAAAGACAGGACGTCCGAGTCGCTTATTGAACCTCGATCACATCCGAGCGAGTCATTCGAGATTCCTCCGATACCCAGAGTGGAATTTGGAGATGTTCTAGGAAAGCCGGACCCTGAGACTTGGGTTGACACTTCTCCTCTTCCTCTGGAAGGACTAAAGGTCTACATCATTCATATCAAGGAGAATCTTACTGATGGGCCTCATCCTGGAGAACAGATTCTGAAGGAACTCCAGGATCATGGTGAAACAGCCCATTTGGGTTGTGAATTCCTGATCCCCAATCCTCTTGAGGGAATATGGATTTGAAACTTACAACATCACTACGAGAAGGCTTTTTGTTTTGTTTTGACGCAACGTCCTATTCATCAATGTGTATATATATATATTAGCCCGTATTCATTTATCATCAGCCCCAACGAGTACTTTTAGTGCATCTTTATATTCGGTGTAGATTCTTGTACAATTGATCTTGATCTAGCCGATGAAGAGTAGAAGGTAGGCATTCTTTTTTATTTCATGACTGACGATCACTTTTACACCCCGTGTATCTATCTGTTTAGTAGCCTTTATGTTTCTCTTGATGACCATTTTGAAAACGTAAAAGAAATCTATTCGTCTATGGGGAAAAAATCAACTATCCACAACTCCACTGCCTCTATCTAAATTCAAAGACCCAATACCTGATACCGAGGCGCGGTCGAGTGCCAATAGCAGCTTCCACCCACATAAAGCTCAATAGCCTCGAAGTATTGCATGATCTCCTTGGAAGCAGGTGTCCTCAGTCTTTCCTCCTTGAGCTTTGCAGCTAGAGACTCTTGTTCGACGATAATACCAAGAAGCATCACTTTTGCCGCCTCCGCTGTGGTGTGGTGCTCCTTCATCAGAACCGCCACTCCATTTCTCATTCGATCTGCCTGCTGGTCTCTCTCCATATTCCAACTGAAGTAGTCATTGGTCAGACCGAGGACATTCCCCATTGCAATGTCGAATTGCTGGACACTGGCGTAATCTTCCTCGCTAAGGCTCATACCCATTCCCCAGCGAACGAAGTAAGAGGACATCCTGGATGATCATTAGATTTTCACTGTTCAAGTATCTCCAAAAAGGTAAGAAAACCTACCAGTAGCCGCTGTTGGCGATTCGGTAGGGCATATAGTCCTCCATTCGTGTGAAGACTCCACCGACGCTGTCGAATGTTGCCAGGTATTTTCTCAGCATATTGACCATAGTCGGAGCTTGCGCGGGATCAATGTCGATTGCCTTTCGAAGCACAAGTGCCAGTGACTTTTGCCGCAAATTTCCCGACACAAACATCGATTGATCAATGTCAAGGCGAAGGACCTTGGCCATCTCATCGTGCTCTCGGCATGCCTATAGATTGTTAGACGGTCCCTGTAGATAAGCTTCCAGCGCTCTTACCGAAGCATGCTCCATCTCCTCTGTCATGTCTGTAGATAGTCTGTGAGCGTAGTTCACATATGCTGAGCACATGGGTATCTTACCATCATGGATCCACAGCACCTCGGCCAGGCTGGAGAACAGAACTAGTCTTTCTGGAAAGGCCGAGCAGTGACAAATGGTGAAGTAGCTACCGTAGGGGTTGGCATGTCGGACAACTGCTTGACGCCTTTCTCTTGTACCTTCCTCGGAAGCTTGCTCGTCGATCTTTCTGAGGGCATCCTCGACTTCCCGAGCGGCAATGCTGATTCCGGCAGGGTAGCGCGAAAAGAAAATTGGGACTTTGTGACCTTGCACAGTCTCAAACACCGAGGGAATGGTTGAGGCGGGGCAAGCGGAGAAATTAGGAGCAACCTGCATGTTGAGGAGGTTTTGATCTGGGACTTGGTTTGATAGATTGTTTTGATGGGAAGTGTATGAGAGAATATCTGAAGTTGGGGGTAGCATTCACCCTTTTATATTAGAAAATTAGAAAGAGACAGTCTAGACAGTGTAGTACATTGTACAGAGTTCATTGCAACTACCTAGACTCTCGGCATTGAAAAATAAGAGATCAGACGTGTATACTCGGGGATCTCAAATCGGGCTCTAATGGAGATCACGAGGATTTTGAATCCACCAAACGGAAGTCTTTGCGCATTAACCAGATGGATTCACTATTCTGCCAAGAATATTGGACAATGGGTCAATAAGAAAATTGGTAATATGCATGATATCACATCACTATTTACTGCGCTAGTCATGATAGCCGATGGATCCGTACGATCGGGACACCCGAGGGCATCTCAAGAGGATCCCAAATCTCAGGGCTGAATCCCTGAATCATATGTATCAACATATTGTATTCTATTTGTTATTATGCAGATTACCTAGGAATTAGTATCTAAATATATATAATGTGTTGAATAGTATGTCTATGTCTAGGGTGCCGACATTACTTGGTAGACTTGGCTTTCCCCGAAAAACACAAACACATGGGATTTCGAAGGTGAAGAGATTTTCTAGAATATATGCAGATCGTATGCAGGGAAGCTGGCCACGCTACTTTTACATCCGGGTAGTCGGGAGATCCAATTATTCGGGTTTACATGCTGATCACTTGACATATATTCAGATTTGATCTATATGAATACTTCAACATGTACAGCCCACATCTTCCCAGTTTGTGTATTATTAAATTTCCATGAACTCGGGCAAGGCCTTGCAGACTAGAACTTCTCTCTTTGTCCCAGAGCATATAAGGATAGATCTACATTCTTGCATCCACTTCCTTGCTTCATAGCTTGAAGATAAGTCTTTCTCGGGACACAGTGACCCATGAGAAAATCAAAGGACCACTTTAAGGTACATGTGAGGGTATGAAAGAGCTGGTCATTGAAAAGACCCATGGAATATATAGGGTTTAATCAAATCTTTTAATTGTTGATAGATGTACATATATAGTCACCTAGGTAATCACCAATACATCCATTCCATCTTTGCTTAATATGTTCAATGATATATATATAGCCTTTGATAACCTCATGAAACCAAAAGGCCATAAGATGCAACGGGAGAACCACACTCTCCAAAATTGGTGGTTGGGAAAAGAGTAGAAGCTGGGGGTTTCTGCTTGCCACGATGGTTATGCTGGCATTGCAGTTTACGGTGAAATTATATAATAGATAAAAGGAAAGCATCTCTCATAATATGTAGATAGATACATGGGAATATGTATAATTGAAAAAAAAAGAAAGCAAAAAAAAAGAAAAGAAAACCAAAAGAAAAACCACATCAACCTGCCCCAATTAAACCTGTCTACTTGGATATATTCTGTTTTGCTTGTGCAATAATATCTTCCCACACAGAGAGGTCATCAGAGGGGGTTCGCAGACCCTTACTTGCCGAGGCAATTCCATTTCCCTCAAGCAAAGAACTGGTATTAGGCAAGTCTAAGATCGGCTCTCCATCTCGAGCAAAGGCGATCAGCTCTTCCTCGCTACCCCATTCACTCATAGCCATCACCCCAATAGGCACAGCGCCATCGAGAGTATAACCAGCAGGACAACTGATGGCAGGACAGCCAGTAAAGTTGGCGAGCCAAACATATTCCATATTGCGCACAGAGGATTTGCTATCCGACAAACCGTGAGACAAGTCCGCCTGGCCGCCGTCAATATGCCATCCAGGGATGGGCGTTGTAGGTGAGACGATGAGCAGCCCAGGGTGGGTCTTGAAGAGATGCGCCAGATGCATCATGAGAAGATTGCGCAGCCGCTGGGAGGCGAGCAAGTCCTGTGCGGTGATCTGGTACATCCCCATAGAGACAAGCACCTTGTTCGGGGCTGTGAGCTGCCGGATTTTGCTTGCGTCAACTCCAGATGCGATCTCCGCCATGATGGTCAGAGCGTGGGCACGCTGACTTTCCGGCAGATAAGGAATTGTGATATCGATAACGTTGTAGCCTTGCTCACGGTAGTAGTCGAGCGCCCGATCAAACACAGCGCGCACAGGGCCCTCGGCGCGGTCAATCCAGTCGCGCACAATACCAATCGTCTTCGTCCTCTTAGTGTCAGGGTGCGGGGGAGCAGGATAGGGGAACTGCGATGAAATCGGGTCTTCTGAAGCTGGTGCCGGAGTGGCCATGATGCGATAGGCAAGGGCGAGGTCATCGATACTGGCAGCCATAGGCCCGACAACACCAACAGTGGGCGCGAGACTTTGGGATGGCGCGGCGGATACACGGCCATGCGAAGGCTTCAGGCCCCAGATACCACAAAATGACGACGGGATACGAATTGAGCCTCCGCCGTCTGCGCCAAGCGCAATGGATACAAGGCCCGCTCCGACAGCATATCCAGAGCCACCGGAGGAACCGCCACAATAATACTCCTTATTGTGGGGGTTTCTGGGTGTTCCATAGTTAGGATTGTTATTGTTTGTATCTGAAAGGTGTTAGATACTGCAACTCGACCATGGTCAATGGGCTCTCACCCAGTCCAAGCTCATGCATGGAAGTTTTTCCGATGACTATAGCTCCGGCATCCAGCCATTGCTTCACACACCACGAAGTCGCATCCGTACCGTGCTTGAAATCCAGCTTCGAGCCTAGCGTGCGCTTATACCCCGTGAGGTGCACCTCATCCTTCACTGCGACGGGCACGCCGTCGAGTGGCCCCAACGACTGGCCCTTCTTGTATCGTTCCGTAGATTTTTCCGCTGCTGCACGGATCAACTCAGTCTGGGACTCAAGGAACGCAGTTGAGTGTTTCCCGGGCGGCTGGGTATCACGTCGAACCAGAGGCAATAGCGTCTCGATGACAGCGGTCGGGGTCAGCTCCCCCGACGAGTAAAGCGCGTGGTAGTCCGCAGAAGTATAGTATCCCCGATCTCCCTTTCTGCGCTCCACATTGGCAGACGCGACATTCGCTGCTGACTCGGCCTGGCCGGTATTGTCGACCGGGATGACGGTGGGATCGTAGCGGCCGGCGTACTGGCCCAGGTGGGAGATTTCACGAATGACACCGAAGCCAGCATTGCGCCAGAAATGGCTTTGGATAAACCCGATATTATGGATCCTGACATAAACAGGAGGGAATTAGCATGTATGAATATTGCGATCAATGGAACTCTCCTGTAACTTACAATGTAGCGCCGATAGCTAGGGGCGTGCCGCGGAAGACGGGAAGGATCTGGTCTTCATATTTGTAAGGCACATTGGGACCCTCATGTGCTGGGGGATAATTAAGAAAAGAATGTTCGTTGGAAGGCATAGTGTTGGTTGCAGAATGGGTTGGCGCAGCTCTCGGAGCTGGCTTATACGTTGCTCCGATATCACATGCCGCGGCTATTTACTCCGTACTCCGTACAAGGTTGATGCAAAGATATATATATATATATATATATATATATATATATCTCAATGTCAAAATGGTTATATGCTTTGTTTCATATTGGATAAATACAACAACTATGGTACTATATCTACAAGCTCAACTTAATATTGTACTTGTCCATCCCCAGAGCGACACCAGTTAGCACTGCCGCATAGACAATTAGAATACCCATGGCCTGTGGCGTGTTGAGATCCAATGTTGGAATGCTCAAGTTCACTGCTCCAGTGAGTAGATTCGCAATCAGGAACAAGGCAAGACCGACGCGGTTAAAGGCATGTAGGATGCGACTGGTCGCAAAGGACGTTTGCTCTACTTCGCCTTCCTTGCTGGTCGCTCGGTGGACCGCGGGGAAGAACACAGTCTCAGTCAAGCAGAATAGGAAAAGCTGGGCACTATTGAATGCTGCTACCCAAAGCACATATGGCATGTTAGCCAGTCGGCGTGACACTGGGATATTGGCACCATAGCCGAATGCGTAGGTGGAATTGAAGAAGAACATGGTTGACCAAAACATTGCCTGGAGAACCAAGGTCACCAGAACAGAGCGCCGCGCCTTCTGGGGCGATTTTGTGGCCGAGGTACCACGAGGAATGATGCGGACTCCAACACCCCGTCCAGCGAGGAAGATCGCGAAATATCCAATGAAAGAAAAGACTCCCTCGCGATTCTTGGACAGCAGATCTGGTCCCCGAGGAGAGACGAGAATGTAACCCTTGAGATCAGTCGACTCCAGAGCGACTTGGTAGAGCACTGCGATTCCAAGCGCAAGCACCTCATAGGAAGGGATCAGTGTAGTCAAGGAGTCGAATAGCTCCACGAAAGGAGGTAAAAATCCAAGCGTAAAGAAAAAGTTCCAGTGCACACCATATTCCGTCACATGTTCCGCATAGTCCAATCCTTTGACACTCCACAGTCGGATGAGGCCTAGCACAAGCAGAGGAATGGAGTGCCGAGCCGACCCAATCAATCTCTTATGTAAAGATAATCTCGGGGAGTTCGAGTTGCGGCCCTTCAGAACCGCGCGCGCAGAGACTACTCCAGCGGAGAACACAAAAGAGCCTACACCCAAGTCCATTAGAGATGTGCCCCAGTTCTCCACCTTGGCAAAACGACGTGGAAACGCGCGGAAGTCGACGGCGAGAATAGCTATGCAGGTAACAATCATCATGGCTGCGCGGTATGTGGTCAAGAAGGGGTGAATAGGCAAGGCCTGCTGTTCTTCCTGGGAGCTCTCATTTTTGGCCTTCGATTTGCGGGGCGGTTTGGCTTTTTGGGGTGTGCGCAGACCGTTTCGGGTGAGGAATAGGAGGATCGCCGGCGAGAGTAGGAAGATGTTGAGAAGAAGCGGTGCAGAGGAGTATGCAGTCGTGGCGAATAAGATGGCTAGTACATTGAGGATGAAGTCGGTCGCGAGTGCCGCAGGACCGTAGGGTGTGAAGAAGGACAAGCGGGACTGGAGCGCGGACCAAAGAAAAACAGATGTCTAGAGTGATAACAGGTCAGAATGCGTCAATTGCAAGGTGAAGTCTCGAGGTTCCTCACTGAAGCAACCAGTGTGACTACATTGATCTCGAGGATTGTGCTTCCCGCAAGATTAGACACAAAGGCCTCTTTTCGAGCTTTGTAGCTCGGATCCATATTGGGCAGTTCTCTCAATATAGCTGGTCGCCCTCAAAAGGTCAAATTTAAAGATTGACGTGGTGGAATGGTGGAGGGTTGAAGCTCTAAATGTTCTGTTTAGGCGCGATCACCTGACCAATAGTCTTCAATCCCAACAAGTGTCAAGATCTCAATAATGACACAGTGTCAATTACGTCAAAATATAGTAGAATATTCCCTAGGTGGCTGCTCCTATAGATGACTCGAAGCAATGGGGACCACGGCTAACTCCTCAGGTTGTGGCTTTATGGATTTACGGGTTTGCAGCTTTAGGATGTTGGCAACCGTTCGCAGACAACTTTTGTTTCGATTAATGAATTTTGTGTAGCAGGTCGTAAGTCTCTAGTGTCTATGAATAAAAACATTTTAGCACGCTGTGCTTGATATCAATATGCAAAAGAATCATGATCTCGGCTTTCCACGTCCACCACGACGTGCTCCACGGCCTCCGCGGCCTCCTCCGCGCTTCTCAATACCGCCTCGGTCTCCTTGACCAGCCCCAGGGCTAAGTGCATCACGACTCTTGCCACCTCGGGAAGAGTTGCGAGGTCTAGAGGGTCCGCCTCGGGAAAATTCATTTGGGTCTGCGTAGTTGAACCCTGGAACGCCCTTCAAACCCATCTTGCCAATGACCTTTCTGTCCATTGGGGGAGGCTCGGGACATCCCATGCCCTTGACTGCCATCTCGTTGGCGAGTTGAACAAGGCCAGCCTTGTCAAGACGAAGTTGTCTCAGAAGACCCGATCCAGCGAAGAAACCAATGAAAGACGAGTAGGCACGTTGCTTCGACTCCTCCTCAATAGTGTACATGGCCTGCAAGACAGCTTTAGAGCATGAAGGAGCACCAGCATTGATGGCTTCGGTATCGGGGTGGGGCTTGATTGGCAAGTGGCGGTTTTGCTTCATGAAGAATGACTCGCCCTCCGTGAGGAGAATGATAGCGCGGCCGTCAGCGCCAGCACGGGCGGTACGACCGACACGGTGAACGTACTGCTCGCCGTTTGATGGCAAACCGACCTGGATGACCAAGTCGACGTTGGGGAAGTCCATACCACGGCCAATAACATCTGAAGCGAACAGGATTCCAGATTCGGCCTCCTTGAATTGATTCGTGGTTCTTGTGCGAGCACCCTGGTTGAGTCTGGAGTGGATCTCGAACACCTTCAAGTGGATCATGCCCTTGCAGAAGACTCCTGCGAGGAGAGCAACCATGTGGGCAGTCACACCGAAGACGATGATTTTCGAGCTTTTCTTGATTTCAAGTTTGAGCAGGGAGGCAAGGGTAGTGAAGGTGTCTGCCACAGACGGCATCAGCACGTGGTACTGGGGGACTCTCTCATGTGTTGGTGATTCGTTCTTATCAATGGTGGAGATGCTGGTGTAGTCTCTCTTCAACACAATATTGACCACATCCTTGACTTTCGGTGGGACGGTGGCGGAGAAGCACATGCCTTGCCACCCCGTGCTCTTTTGTGGGATGAGTTGAAGGATTCGCTTCACATCAGCAATGAAACCACTCTCAAGCATCGTGTCGGCTTCATCCAAAACCAAAGTTTGGATGTTAGACAGCTTCTTAGCGGTGGGAGTTTGAGATAAGTAGTCGCACAGACGTCCCGGGGTGGCGACCAGAATGGATGGTGCGCCTTTCATGAAACGAGAATGAGCAGATGCTCGGGCCGTTCCACCAACTGCAACATGGCACTCCAGAGGAGTGGGAAGTTGAGACGTTAGTTGATCACACGCCTTTGCAATTTGCTGGGCGAGTTCTCTGGTTGGGGTAATGATCAAAATGCCGACCTTGCCTTTGGGTGGCGCGGAATCACCTTGGAGCAGGCAGTGCAATGCAGGCAACAAGAAAGCAAGGGTTTTTCCAGTTCCAGTTTTGGCCTGGACAAGGCAGTCGCTGCGCCAAGTTGGAAGCTCGGTCAACACACGCTGCTGGACAGGGGTCATGTTGGTAAATCCCATCACATCAAGGGCTTTGAGGAGCTTGGAGTCAAGCTTCCCAGCCATAGTTGAATACAGCTGAGTATCATTGCTGAGTTGAAGACCTTCCATGATGGTCAAGGCTTGGCTTTATATCAAGAAAACTGCAGTTAATGAAAATTCAAACTCGAAGTGGCGGAAATAAATGACTCTTTTAAGTGTGAATAAAACAAGACCAAGAGGATGGTGTGAGTGAGTGTAATCCTTCTTCTTTTAGCAAAAGTCAGACTGATGCTTAATGATGTGAATCAATCCAACTTGGGGAAGTTTATATTTGACAAAGAAGAGATTTGTTGCCAAGCATTTAAGATTGTCGCAAAAGTCTGGTAAGTATCCTCTGATTGGTTAATGAGGACCCACCACCTTCGCTTGATGTCACGTGGATTATGGGTCAGTTCCTGGAAAGATGAGACTAACCACATAGGGTAATTCCCCTTCTAACCGCTGATTTGGAAGTGAAAATATCTCCGTCCCTATTGGAATACTTTCAGTTGAATGTTTAAGATGCTCAGTACTTTTTCCCGAGAACTTCTTCTCATGTCACTGCTAGACTCTAGTCCAAATAACAGACTAGGTCGCTAGCTGTTATGATTATGCATGCCTGGAAAACATGCAGTGATTTACAGACAATGGTCTGGGATCAAGTGCAAATCAATCTACTGTCAGAACTTACATTCTACAGAAACACCTTGCGGGTGGTGTCGGAGCCATATCCCATTGATATGATTCGCCTGGCAAAGTTGATCATCTAACATGGGGCGAAGACCGGTACATTGGTACTTGTGCTGTACCATGTTATTACTCCGTAGACAATCCCTGATGTTCCTAGGGGTGTCAACCTCGCTTAATAGACACAGCCACATATATCACATTTTCATACATTATGGTTACCCTCATTCCCACCCGTGTACTCCGTATGCGAGTTCTAATCAAGTCGAATAAATTTGTGACGTGTTTCTATTTTGAATTTCAGCATTGGACTGCATAAAATCAAGGGTGATTATGCTCACTGTAAACGGTTTACTTGATCAGCATAATGATCGGCCGGGGTTCACGGACCATGTCTAGAATGCGAACGTCCACACGCCGGTTAAACTCTTATATCGTAGGGCATTCGAAATAACCGTGCCCGATTCTCCACTTCCAGACATCCACATGGCGCATAGCGATTACGGTGTACAGCGTATAGGGCATTAACATACCTGTGTACTTTTCAACATCCATCTAACAGTAAATAATTATGCTGTTCTCATAGCAGAGTAACGTGAATAGGCGCATCATTAATGCATTAAATTCTCAAACCCATATGTCCAGGCAATGAAGGATCAACATGATCATTGGATCAAAATCAAAATGTAAGATCGTCCTGTTTCTCGAAAAGCCGTTAGAGCGGACATTGGCGCGAATACCGCGCTCGAATAATACAGTAGTAAACCCCGTTGAGATCCCCTGATCATAAACATAAAAACCGCAACGAGAGATAATAGTCTCAAACTAGTTACCCTCTGCCCCCTGGATGCCTAGTGTAGCCTAATCCTCGGTAATGAGCGTTTAGATGGGGGCCAAAGGATTCCGGTCCACCTTTACTCCGTACATCTCCACAGGGACGCGGATCATGACCGATGGGTTTGTGAATGTCTAATGGCGTCAGAGAGTATTTTTTAGTTTTTCTGTTGCCCCTTTGGTGAACCCTCGCCTTACCTTCAACATCCAAAAGAACAGGTGTATATAGTAAATGCTCATTACGGTGCGCGTAGGGCAGACCCTTTAAGTGGCAGCTCATTTTCATCTTGGCAGTTGAAAAAAAAAAAAGCGGACCTGTAGGGGCGCCTCACCATAGTGGCTGGAAAAGAGAAGGCTATATATGGCCCGTAGCTATCCACACAGTTCGTCTATTTCTCCACGTTTATTGGGCGCTTAGGGGTCGGGTCAAGGTCTCGCTTTCGCCGCATCATCGGGATATTTGCCTGGCTTGTTAACCGATCTGGAGAAAACCGAAATGCGTTTTGGGGCGGGCAATATTATAGTCTGAACAAGACCACTCCGTTGTTGAGAGGGTTACAATCACCCCCTGAAAGCAAGGCTATACCTCGCGCAACGTCCTATTTTCTTCTACCCTGTAGAGTCGTCCAAACTAATCTAGCCCTTGATTCGCACGATCTGTCACGTTCTGCCTTGATCCCTGCTCGGCTCGGAAATAGTCCACCCACACGCGATCTTTGCAAAGTAATCCACCATTTCCCCTCATGTTAGCTTCTCTCCAGTCGTTCAGAGGTCCATGGTCGCCAGTGGGGGGGGGGTTCTTCTTGAAAGGTTCTGGGCAACGGAGAGAAGCTGGATTGCCAGCACACCAATAGCAATGACCTCTCAGGATGAACGGCCTGTGAAGAGACGTGAGTCTCGATCGGGGACGAGAAAAGTCTCGACCCTGTCAGTGGAACAACTAGAGCGAAAGCGTGCCAACGATCGAGAGGCTCAGCGGTCCATTCGTCAACGCACTAAGGAGCATATAGAACAACTTGAAGCTCAGGTCGCCACCCTCCAGTCACAGATTGCGGAGATCCGGTCTCAAAACGAGCGGTTCGATGAAGTCATGCAACAAAATGCCTTTCTGGAGAATGAAGTGATCCGGTTGAAGCATCAAGTTGCTTCTTTGACTGAGCGACCGGAGTTTGCATCGAATAACGAACCGATGGCTCCGCTTCGAAGTGGATGGTCTTTGGAAGAAGCCTCGAATAGTGTATTACCGGGCAGCCCAACAACAGTGTCATTGCTACCATCACACTTCACTGCACCATCCCACACCCAAAGACCCTCGGGCCTTTCAGCACCGCGTCGAGCGTCTCATCAGCATGACTGGCAGAACCCATATTTGTCCACAAGATCGCCGTCGCTCGGCGCAACCTCCAACCCGGAATTTCCTCATCATATGGAGCCATATCCCATAGATGGTCAAATGCGTCAAGGATCAATCTGCCCACCCCAGCAACAAACCAGATCCTCTTTCTCCCAATTCACTTACAACAGCCGGTCGCTTTCTATGTCGAGTGCCAGTCCTATTCCTCAGCCAGCGCCTGCCCCAGTCTACCAAGCCTCCACATCAACATATCCTCAACCAATGCCTCAATCGCAACAAGCGGATCCGACATACGAGTATCCATGGGTGCCTCCATCATGAATAATTCATATGCCAGGCAACCGGGGCAATCCAAGGGCACTTATTCTCGGTGGAAACACAACGCCTTGTGAGTTCAGTCCGGAAGAACCGTCATCCGGTCTTACAGCATGTGAGTTTCGCCGAAGAATCTCGATACGAACATGCATATTGACTCATGCCATAGTTAGACTTCCCAGCAATACTTGTTTTCGGACTCGAAAGTCGTCGCAGAAATCGTGATTGAAATTCCTTTTCGCACAAAAGTAATAGCGGAAATAACAGCCGTGCTGAATAAAGCAACCTGTCGGAGAAGCTCCGGTCCCACCTCCGGACTATCTACACCATTCGACCTCGGGACTCAAGCGGTCAGCTGGCAACTTGAATTCCACGCCGAAAATACTCGTTGGAATTGGACACAAATCAGGCTGGGCACCTTGGCATGACTGGGGCCGTTGTATGCGCTGCTCCTTTACTCTTCCTACATACACACTGTGACATTTAAATATCCCAGTAGAGTGAATCCCGAATTGACCCATGATGGCTCTTCATTTTTTGTATACCCCAGAGGGAACAATGAATACATACCCAAAAGCAAATAAACAATACGCCGCAGAGTGCATGAAATCAAACTATTTATAAGCAAAGCCATCTAGGTAGGCATTCAACTCCGTCTCGTCTAGTTCGTGTACTGCTTCTGGAGAAGCTTGGCAATAGTCTGCAGCTGGATGTTGCTGGTACCCTCGTAGATAGCGCCAATCTTGCTATCACGGAACATCTTCTCGGCAATACCTTCACGGACAAAGCCCATACCACCCATCCACTCAACAGCAGAGCTGGACACCCGGCCAGCAACTTGGGAGGCGTACAGTTTAGCCATGGCGGCATCCTGGACGAAGTCCTGGCCGGCCTCCTTCTTACGGGCGGCATTGTAGACGAGGGCGCGGGCAGCGGCAATCTCGGTGTAGGCCTGCGCAATCTGGTGCTGCATGCCCTGGAAGTTCCCGATGAGCTCGCCGAATTGGCGGCGATCGTTCCAGACATATCTTTGGTTGTGGTCAGCTGATCGGATTCATCTTCGGGCGAATATCATAGATGCAAACTCACCGTGCGGCGTTCTCCCATGCTCCGAGAGCCAGACCGGTCATCTGAGCGGCGATGCCAATACGACCCTCGTTCAACACGCTGATGGCATACTTGTATCCCTGTCCCTCCTCGCCGAGCAGGTTGCTCTTGGGGATGACACAGTCGTCAAAGTTGAGCACGCAAGTGCTGCTCGCGCGGATTCCAAGCTTCTTCTCCTTCTTGGCGATTGAGAAGCCGGGGGTATCCTTCTCAACAATGAAAGCAGTGATGCCTTTGTAGCCCTTGCTGGGGTCAATGTTGGCAAAGACGATGAAGATACCAGCCTCCATAGAGTTGGTAATCCACATCTTAGAGCCATTGATCTTATAACCATCAGTGGTCTTCTCGGCCTTACACTGGAGCGCGAAGGCATCGGAACCAGAGGCAGGCTCGGAAAGACAGAACGAGCCGACAGTGCCGGTAGTCAGCTTGGGGAGCCAGGTACGCTGAGCCTGGGCATCACCGTACTTCATGATGGCGGTGTTGACAAGTGTGTTGTGGACATCGACCAGCACGCTGACGCTGGGGTCGACGCGTGCCAGCTCCTCGATCGCGACGATCGCCGCGGTGAAGTTCATCCCCGCGCCGCCGAACTCCTCTGGGACCTCAATGCCCATCAAGCCCTGTTCAAAGAGCTGCTCTACGATCTTCGGGTCCATGGTCTCAGCTTCGTCCATTTCCCGTACCTTCGGGCCGATTTGCTCCACGGCGAACTTGGATACCGAGTCGGCCATCAGGGTTTCGGTCTCGGACAAAAGGGTGATCGGCGTCGGGGTCAGCTCGGAGAGGTCGACCTCCCGCCTGCGGGGGGTGGTTGAGAATGCATATGCGCTACAATAGAGGTTTGTTAGGAAATGTGGTATCTTTAAATAGCATGCGCTGGATTAGATGGTACCTCTGTATGGGCCGGCCGGCAGCGAGTCGTTTGCCCGCCAAGCGGACTGAGGGGGTACGCGACAAAGGTCGCAATGCACGGATAATGGAAGCCATTGTGAAGGTGGAAGTAAGAAAGAGAAGTGAAGGGGGAGAAGGGGAGGAAGAGGTAATCACGAGGTGAACCTCGGTTATCGGCGGTGTTGGGGATCCGCGGGGAGCCCCACATGTCTTCCCGAGGTCTTTTGGGGACGAAGGGAAAATGTGTCAACGTATGTGAACCGATGTGAAAATACATGATGCTTTGCATCTATATATATTACTACCAGTGAATATTACACAACTTTTTGAACGTCCCTTCGCTCACGGATATCCTCAGAAGAGACATTACTACCCGCTGACGAAGGGACCTTGACCCTCCACATCCTCGAAACGAGTCACAATATCAGTTCGAACCATAACATCCTTCTGGACATTGACAATATGTTCCTTACTTCCATTTGTCCCACCAGATGTGGTGAGCTCCATCCAGTCCGGGTCATCGTCGAACGACTTTCTGCCCCCATATGCGTGGGACTGAAAGTGTGAGTGGCTCGCCAGGTTGGACTTGTTCGTGCCATATGCTGCACGTCCGCTCGAGTTGCGGTACTCGTAGGGAGTCGACGTTTTCTTTGAGGTGAACCCCAGTCGCTGCATCACTTTTTCCATGAGGGGTCGGATGGGTGGTATGCAGCCAACGATAATGACGATCCAAGCTTCCGTCGAGGCCCAGATGAGGAGGGATGATTGAGCGTCTGTTGAGAATACGATGATTAGCCAAAAAAAGGATTTTCTTTTTCCCAAAGGTGGAATTATGGATTTGACTTGCAGGTGATATCAGTTGTTTCGGTCAACGCCTTGAGCTCATATGTCTTGACAGCGGAGCAAACTGCCGCTCTGCATTGGGGGAAATGTTAGCTTGGGACAAGCTGAAGTATTTGGTATACTACTTACATCCAACCCAACCCCATGAGAATAGACAAGGCGACCTTGATTCGCAGCTTCATCTGGAGCTTCCAAAAGAGGTGGATCGGATATGATGCTAACAAGGCGTCGCTAAATGCGTTGAAGCCTAAACTCGTCAGCAGCGGCTCAACCTTTGATTGTGTGTTGATGCGATGTGCAAACTCACTAGCCTGGAAGAACGAATAGTTCTGATTCATTTTGCGCCCCGGGTCGCATGTTCCTTCAACGCTATCATCCCACAATTTGTGCATTGGCTTGCATTGTCCCAGAATGGTTCCAAGAACGGCAATGTTGATTGTTCCAATGAGAAATCCCAGGATAATCAAGAACCAAGGCTTTGTCTCGTGACGACCACGAATCTGGAAAAGGAAGGCGAGAATTGCAAGCTTTCCCAGCATACTCGCGGTTATTGCGAGTAACTGGAACACCCATGACCAGTGCAGCGCTGTAACTCTCTGCGAGTCTGACAGCTCATCCAAGTGATCGCCCATTCCAGCATTGACTGAAAATTGCAGGAACACCTGGGCAGTGGTCTCGGTTGCCTGCGAAAAACACATTTATTAGCTTACGCCATGAAATCGAACCTTCACAAGACCAAACACTCACCACCGTCAAACCAGCGACAGCAAAGTCCCATCTAAACCGCCCCACAAATTTCCAGTTACTTAAGAACCGAAGACTGAAAAGGAGTAAACCAATGCATGTTTCTGTCCAAGAAATTGCGAGGATGACCGTAGAATTGTTTCCGGCCATTTTTGGCCTTCGGGGAGGGGATACCTCTAGAGGGTCTCGCAGAGTATTCCGTAGGCAGAAACAAGAGAAGGTGCAGGGTGACCTCAGACGTGGATGCTTGCTATGCTTCATAACTATGTTTGCTATTACTGGCATCATTACAGGCTATTTGGAACCCGGTAAAAGGCGCTCCGTAATCCCAGCAAAATCCCTGGCGATGAACAGGGGTTTAATCATCTCGACGCCTGCCATTGGAGAAGCGAAATTTTCTCCAAATCAGGCGCTCAAACGAAAGGATCACAGAACACGCTAAAAAGGCCTGCGTCTATTATCTGCTCATAATAAATTAAAGTCAATAAATTAATGAGTTAATAAGTGCCGGTACGGAGTACAGAAGCTGAGCCTTGAGTGATGAATTCTAGCAATTCGTTCAAACCATCTCACGAGCTAAAAAGCTGCACGAGAGTGTTAATTGCCTTCCACCATGTATGAATTTTGTTCCGGAACTTCGCCTCTGCATATTAGTATGGTATTTCGAGCAGGGGTCTTGATAAATTGGAATTATATTGTCGCATATCCTTGTAGCCTAAGTGGGAGGACAAGAGATGGGTTACATAGAATAGCCAAGCGCCAAGGAACAGGGATGTACAAATATGTGCGGCTTATAGCATGCCGATCTATACGGAACTTTTTAAATGAAATTATATTATAAGGATCAAAACAAGAGAATGACGATCGATTCATAAATCATAAAACCATCGGGATATAATGGGGTAATGGGAACAAACCATGATCGACGTTTGAACGCGTAGACACAATTTCCTTGGGAACCCTTTTACAAACGTGCCTATGAACTCTAGTGGTTCTATTGTTCTATTGCATAAAGAACCTACCAAGGCTTTTATCCTTGAGGCTAGGCAATCGAAGACTATGCCATTCTGGCTACGGCCTTGTACATGTATCTTCCCCAAAGACCCTTTTTTTTTGCATTGGAAGCCATCGGAACCCACAATATCGAACCGAGAACCGAAAGTAACATAAATTAAAACATGGCGTATATGGTGGCGCCCCTATAGGCTGTGTACGAAGTACTAGAAAACGGTCGCGTTACTTCGTGCACGGCTTAGGGCTCCATTTTACTTGAATTTCAGCGAAACATCCATCGCGCTGTAAAATTTTATAAAGCCTCCTTCCTTTCGAATTGGAAACTAAGACCCATGAAGTGGGGGGAAGCAATTTATAGAGAGATATATATATATACTATATTAAATATTTAAATACGAAGGAAATTTTGGTAATCCCACACCTGGACCCTAGAAGGCCCCACCCATTCGGGTTAACTAGATGATACCAGCGGCCCGGAGGAAATCCTTCTGGTGCAACCAGATTCGGATCTCCTTGCCCTTCAGATAAAAGGGAATATAGACCACGTAGACCACAACATTGATAGCCGCAACTGTCATAAAGACACTCAAAACACCATTGGAAGTGATATAGTCGTTGATCACCCATGTCCAGATCCACGCGATACAACTTTTCAAAGCAGCAATAGTCACCATGATCTCGACGGAGAGCTACAAACCCAAAAATGGAAACGATTAGCGAGTAGAGTGGCGTCGAAGCTGAAAGGGGGTTTTACCTCTTTGTGACAATCCAGGGCGTAGTTCATTCCTAGCGTGGTTCCCATTTGACTTCCTACTGACAGAATACCCGCCCCCACAACAGGCATTGCCCAGTGCATTTGGTGTTCATAGGCAAGTCCAAACCAAAGCGCACCAAAGAATGTGAAAAATGCCGCCAATAGACAAGTCGGTAGCCGCATCTCGGGCTCACGAATGCCGTTATTGCGTTTGGTGAAGAAGTTGGCAATCCAGTCGCCCCCTGGGCCAGAGAAAAAAACACCGAAAAGAGAGCCAATGAAGGGCGATAGGAAGAATAGACCCTGGCCGTTGGAATTGAATGCGTAGGGAGGGGGTGCAAAGAGCTGTGCCACCGACGCGCCGAGGATGACATTCCAGCTAAGGGCCATACCGTAAATGCAACAAGACCAGAGGACGGTGGGATAGGCCACGAGCACGAATGGGCGCAGGAAGACATGAAGGAGATTAATATTTGGATCTCCGCCGTTCCAGAACTGGAGTTCTTGTACAAAGGTCTTTTGGGGAATTGGGCTTGATTCCTGAACTAGCACCTGGTCTCTACTTCCATCGACATTGGTGGACTGGAATAGATCGGGACGGGGTCCGTCGAACTTGGTCTCTGGCATGAAGAAAAACATGGAGATCAAGCTGGCACCAACAAACATGGCCACAATCCAAAAGGCCCAGTCCATTCCAAGTGCCTGCACGATGAATCCGGAGAACATAGGTCCCAGCTCATTGCCTCCCAGGACAGACAGGCCATACATAGCAATAAGCTCTCCGCGGTTGTGCAAAAAGAACATATCTGTCACGGTTGATGGGACGATTGACTCAATGGGCGCCTGGAACGCGCCCAGGAAAGCACGCCCAACCAGGAAAACGGTGTAGGTTTTATTGGATGCAACAGCTAGCCAGATACAGGCGATGGCCATGAGGAAGTTTGAGAAGAGGTAGATGGGACGGCGGCCATACTTCACGGCAAATGGCATCCAGACACAGTTCCATACACCCTGATTGATCAAGCAAGCTCCGTTCGCATAAGTCAATTCCTGGAGGGGCTTGTCGAAGGTGACGGATAGTTGCATCATACCTGTACTAATCAGAATGGCTCAACATATAATAGAAGATGAATATATACCAGCTGCCATGATAGGACCAGTAATAGCCCCCATAAAGGCAAACCAACAGCCATTGAAGAAGGTCAAGCTTTTCTTCGTAGTGGACCAGTTTAAAGGATCATTTGGATCGTTGATCGAAGGTTGCGGGACCAATAACATGCGTCCATCCCCTGTTCCACGATGCTTGAGCTGGTGAAGCCGCTCGGAGATACTTCCATTGTCGCTACCATCGAATAGTATTTCAGTTCCAGGTGCGGCATGGAACTCTACTTTCTTCTCGGACTCAGGTTGTGAGTTATCGGGCATATTGAAGGTGCCCAAGGGGGGAAGAGGGGTGGGGGAACAAAATTTAAAGAAAAATAAGAACGAGTGTCAGGAACTGTGAACAGGGGAGAGAAAGAATGACTTTGAACACTGCGTTGCATGGAATAAGGCGGAAATCTCCTTTTTAATACCCGTGATTCGCATTTTAGTGAAACAATATCGAGTAGATAGTACAGAGTAGAGTGTTCGGCACTAGAAATCCAGCCAAAACGGCTTTGATACATTCCTTTGGCGTCATGCACCGCATCTCTGTATTTTTGAGGACCAATCATAAGTTTAGTATGGCAACTAGCAGTGCGCTATGCAGGGATGTATATGGCGGTCGTAATAAAGAGCTGAGTGCGTGTGGCAAAAGAAAAATAGCTCTCCCGCCCAAACACGCTACTATATTGTGGATTCTGTGGCTTCCCATCTGAACTAGTCAAATTTGCATGGGGTGATATCCACCGAGAAATACCCAAGCATCCAGCTTCCCCTCATATATCTCACTTCTTTGATTGGTGAAGCATTGCATGTTCTGGCCGATTTCGGGACTTCCCCTCCACTCAGCTTCATCTATGTACCTAGAGTCGTGTATTTAAGAAGGGCAGTGCTCTTCAAGTTATTCTGGAAGAAAATTAAGTCGAAATCCATCGGATGAAGATGGCTCCATCCCGAGACTTTGCATCCCACCAGACTGGCTATGGCAGTTTACCAAGTTCTGTGCCAGTGCTCATTGTGGGCGGAGGCCCGACTGGGTTATTGCAGGCCCTCCTTCTCTCTCGACTCGGAGGTATTTTTGCAACGAAGTCGACAAGAACATTTTATTAACATATTGTAGTTCGATCATTAATCATTGAGCGTTATGCCGAGCGTTTGGCTGCCCCCAAAGCTCACGCGATCAGCCCCCGCTCTTTGGAAATCCTACGTCAATTTGAACTAGGCGAGAAGCATGTGCGCCAGCTAGGCACTTCGCGAGATGATAGCTCCTCTGTCAACTTTCTGACAAATCTTTGCGAGGAAGCGATCGGCAGGCTCCCGTATGAGCGCATGGATCCTGCAGTCTTGGATGACACGCCAGAGGTACTGTCCTCTATAGTGAGAAAAGGCTGGGAAAGGCACTGACCAATTGAAACAAATAGATGATTCATAATATACCCCAACCAGCCCTAGAGCAAGAATTGTCCAATTTTATTGCAAAAGATCCCAACGTTACCTTGGTCAAGGGATTCAGCATTCATGCTGTGGAACAAGTAAGTATACGGCCCTTTTTGGCCATTGATGAAGCAACTTAGTTAACTGAGAACCAGACTGAAAATGAAGTTGTAGCGACAATTGAGGAACGGTCAACTGGACAACTCCATCAAACAAAGTCCCGTCACCTCATAGCTTGTGATGGTCGTAGAAGCAAGGTCCGTGAGCTGCTCGGTATTGAGTCTGAGAGCGAAGACTCCGATCAGACAATGATGACCATTCATTTCAATGCCAATCTGCGACCTGTCGTTGGTGACCGTGTCGGGATGTTGTATTGGATAATGGACCCGGTAGCTGCGGGCTTTATCATCGGCTATGATCTCGATGGGATCCAGGTACATATCAGCCAGGTAGACGTTGAAGAGCACCCGGTCGAGTCGTGGACAGAAGATATGTGCAGGGCCAAGATTCGTGGTGCTATCGGTAATGACGATGTTCCGTTTGATATCCTGAGCTATCGCCCCTGGGTCTTCCGTCGCCAGGTTGCTTTCACGTTCCAGGAGGGGAATATTTTCCTGTGAGTCTTTGTAGTTGGATATTGACCCTGTAGGTTCCTTGTTAATGTTTTTTTATTCAGGGCTGGAGATGCTGCTCACTCATTCCCCCCAACTGGTGGGCTAGGTTTGAATTGTGGTCTTGCAGATGTTCACAACTTAGCTTACAAGATTGCCTTGGTTCACCGGGGGGTAGCGACGCCATCTATACTTTCGACATACACTGCCGAGCGACGGGGTGTTGCGGATTCCTATTCCAAGCAGAGTGTTAAGAACGGCAAGGAGATATTTGCCCTGTTGCAGAGTCTCAAAACCGCCGGTGTTGAAGATGTTATACAAGCGCGAAAGAATATGATGGCAGCGTTGGCGGATCCGGTCCAACGCAAACGGGTTAAGGCAGGTATTGAAGGACAGAGGGAACATTTCGATAATGTAAGTGACTTCGTCGTGGCTTGCAACTTCCCATAAAAGACCGGGGACTTTCTCACACCTTTTCCCATAGCTGGAGCTTCATATTGGATATGTGTATGGTGCTACCGAGCCACCTCCTCATGCTTCACATTATTCTCCAAAATTTGTGCCTGGGGCGCGCTTACCGCATGCTTGGATTGGCTTCCCAGATCATCTCTCCCCGGAGACAGAGGCAGCCAGGTGTTCTTCACTGCCCCATAAGCCAGTCGATGTATCCTATATCAAGGATTTTGATGCAGATCAGGTTCGGGCGTGTCAGTGGAGTACCCTGGATCTCTGTGGCCCTGACTCTTGGACCTTGATTCTGGGGCAGGAACAGCAAACTCCCAACATTACCCTTTTGCAGAAGCACTGTAACGTGATTGGCATACCTCTTAATACCTGGCGCCTCGACGTTGACTTTGAAATCGTCAGGCAGAGTTGGTTTGCTGATGAATTGGTCCATGGTGGAGGGGTTCTGGTTCGCCCTGATCAGCACATCCTAGCAAGGATCGCTGCCGAGACATATAAAGAAGATGTGATTGCGGAGGTAAACAAACATCTTGGGATTTAAAGACAAGTTTTATAGAAATGTAATAGAGACACACCGTACGTGTATATATCAACTGTTCATTTTGATAGATATGTGTCCACAGGAATTTCCAGAACATCAAATATTTTTGCCCCTTTCCAAGCTAAAAGAAAGCATGTTTGACTAATAAATTCAATAATCCCTGCTCATTAAGATGCGACGCTGTGATACGATGCTTTCTGCTCCAATCGCTTTGACTCCCTTTTGGGCCACATAGCCTGTTTTCACCTGGTACATTGTAAGACGCGCGGAGTGTCTTCCGCTGCATCAGAACATGTAGAACTTGATCTTGTATAATCTTCCTTCTATAACTGACATTGGCATCGGATATATCAAAACCCAAGCAGTGCCTCGTCGACTTGATCTGTCTCAAAGTCAAACCGAACCAGATCCTCCTTATAGGGAATAAAGTATGTGCTTGTGACTCTAAGTAACATGAAATTGCCATTAGTTACTAGGGAACTGAGGGTTCAAGGGGATTTGCTTACCGTTCATGTTCAGTGCTAGCTTGATACTCAGCCAATGCTGCTCGATCCTCGTGGTAGCTCACCAGAGCGTATTGAAATCCTTTGCTTTTTTCCACTGGGGTTGTGATTGAAGGACCCCCAACAACAAGCCTTTGGCTTTTAACACAGGGCAAGGACTTGAGTGTCTTAATTTGGGAAAGGAACTCCTGCTGCACTTCGTCTCCGATGTTCGCGCGAAATTTGAACAGAACTATTGAGGTTAATTAAGTACTTTGTTCTTGAGTATTGAGCTATACCAATGTGAACAAGAACCATTTTGAATGTTTGTTTCAAGAAGAAAAATCCATATGTAGAGGTTATAGACTGAAATCGGAAGTTCTCTTTATAGGGCGACGGATGCCATCCGTTCCTTGGCGGAAGTTTCCCGCACCCAAAATCTCGTCAATAGCAGTGGTATTCTTTTTACATCTTTTCACCGTTCATTTTGAGGGACTTTGTTTATTCTGAGTTTCTTGGATCAATGAAGCAACTTCAACGCTGATCAGGGACCCTGTCAGCTTAATGGACTCTCCACGGCGGTCTCGGAACCGCGCCGCCTGTCGGAGGTGTCAGCGACGGAAAATCCGCTGTGATGGAGATCTTCCCCGCTGCGCCTCGTGTAGAAAGGCCAATGTAGCCTGTGTGAACGATGGCAAACAAGAGGTTAATCGCACGTACGTATGATTATCCGCCGAGTCACATGGATACTTCCTCCGCTTCTCTGATGCTTCTGATACTAACAGCTGACAAGGTACATTGCGAATCTACAAAAGCGTGTACAGTGGTTAGAGTCCTTAGTGAAGGAACGAGATCCAACGGTCCAGCTAGAGGATGGCCCGCAAGTACATATATCGGATATCTCACAACTCGAACCTACGGAAGAAAGCACCGAAATTGAGTCTACTATTCCACAGGGCGCCCGCATTCGCCAGTCAATAACACCTCATGTACAACCCGGGCCAGTGCACCCGCAACCGTCTCAAACACATTCAAGACCGGCCCACGAAATTGGTCTCGTCTCTCTTTCTTCAGGAGAGCCGAGATACATTGGTCCTTCAAGCGGATATTTCCTAGCAAACCTCATATTTTCAAGTGCTGGCCGACGAACGGGGCCATCGGGAAACCATGGCAATGCGGACAAACCAATGTCGCTTTCATCCGAGTTTTTCAACAGCCCAGCATCGCTCCCAAGTCGCAAAGAAGATGCTGTGGAGCTTACTTCAAAGTACTTTTCTTCGGTCCATCTCGTATACCCCTTTCTACACCAACCGTCGCACATGACAAGACTCGGGAGAATTTATAGCGATGAAGCATCCCCCAGCCCAGCCGATACCTTTCACGTCTTCATGGTGCTCGCAATAGCAGCCTCGGATCTCTCTAGACGGTTCAGAATTCCCCTTCCGGCCGAGGGGTATTATACAGCAGCTACCCACTTTTTCGAACGTGCTTGTGCCGATGGTTCTTTGGAAGGACTCCAGAGTCTGCTTTTGCTAATGGTATATGGACTTCATAATCCCTCGTGTGATATCAATGTCTGGAGCCTGAACTACCAATGCTTGGGCTCCCTGATTGACTTGGGTCTTCAGCGTGATGTTCGCGCATCATCGACATTCTCCATCTCGTTCCTAGAGCAGGAAATGCGGACTCGCATCTTCTGGGTTGTATACAGCTTTGATCGTACATTAGGCACGATGATGGGTCGACCGATCGGGGTGAGAGATGAGGCGTGCGAGCTTCGGGTACGTGCTTTGATATGGGGTGCCTCTCTAATAGACCTTGGCTAATAGTACCTTCAGCTCCCTTCGGATGTCTCTGATGATGATCTTTCCCAGGCAACTTGTGACGAAACCTCGGGAAGTCGCACAACTTCTCACATGACATTCTCTATCCATCTGTTCAAACTCGCCCGCATCAATTCTGAGATTAAATATGTCATGCACAGCATCTGCAGAGATCCTCCCCAATATGCTTACCCACCGGTACCCGACATTTATTTGTGGCAGAAAGAGATGATCGAACGCCTTCAGACTTGGCTTTCAGACATTCCCCGTGGCGCTGAAGGTGATGCTATCATGAAAATATGCGAAACCAAGTATCACGAAATGATGATCCTAGTGCTAAAACCAAGCCCCGGTATCCCCGAGCCATCGGAAGAGATGCTTGCGCGATGTTTTCAGCATGCCGTAGATCTTCTCCGCGGGTTTGGAGAGCTTTACAGACAGGAAGCCCTCTTATACAGTCGGCTCATTGTTCACTCTGTCTTCTTGAGCACGCTGATATTGCTACATTGCTTGTGGAGACTGCCCCATGTTGCATCCGAAGTGCAGATTGATGAGGTGGTTGCTGACACGAGCATCAGTCTGAATATACTAAGCGGCATTGGGGAATACTGGGCAGAGGCTAAGCGCGCAAGGGATTGCATCCATGAGTTATCCGGTGCGACTGTTCAGAGACTTATCAGGATTCGAAACTTAGAAGCTTCTTCAAGCTCGATCAGACTGGGCAAAAATCAATCAACTTGCGGCAGAGCGAGAGCACAGCGGCTGCAGACTGTCAGTGAAGGAATGGAGGTGCCTTTTGCACTTCGTACTGACTCTGGTATTGAAAACCTGCCGCTGAATTCCTTTATCGATGATTACGATCCACACATTGACTCTATGACTTGGCTGCATGATTCCATGCCGGGGGGCTTTATGGACTTCAGCGGAGCCCCAGACTTTGACACTCTCATGTGGGAGGTCTTTAATGCTAACTGAGAAAGGAAGATTGGAATATAATAATTCGGATATATCACTCAATAGATTCTTCAATCAATTTAGTTCGGATGTCTATGGTCCACTAGCTACGGGCGAAGGAATCAAGTCAAATATCTCACATTTCACTCAGCTTCAAAAGTAACATTGACATTACTTTCGACATCGATACCCTGAGGTGTGAGGTCCAGCGGCACGGGGTCGTCCCCAGGCTGATCACCGTAATTAGCAGCGACCATACGGTTGCAAGCCCTGTAAGGACTGATCCCATGGTCGGCAATTTCCGCTACGGAAACATCGCGTCCAATCACTTCCGAATAGTCCTCGGCTTGTTGGATAGCATCGCGCAGAGCCAATTTGCGCGCATCCGAAGCCAATCGTCGCCCAGTTTCATCGGTGAGAGTCCAATCTAGACCGTCGATTTCGACCTTGGGATAGACCAACAATTTTTCGATCGCGTAGTTCAACTTGGGGAAGTCGCGGAAGACGGCTTTGAAGGATATGCTGGCATGGTGTGGGTTTGACACGGGGTCTCTATCCGTTGCCTTTGTCCAGGTTCTGATACTCGTAGATGAAAAGTTTGTCAGAGGGGACTCGGGATCATTCGCATTAAAGGTTGATGTGATCCAATTTTGTAGGTTGGTGGATGATGTTGCCACTTCTTTGGCGACTTTTTCTTGTTCGGAGCCGTTTCCCTTTACTGAGAACGTGAGGGTGCCACGTTCTGGGGCATGGGTGATGGATGATTTGCCTGTGACTATGATTTTTAGAGGAGCCATGATGGTGAGAAATATTTTACATTCTTCGAGGATTTATAAAGTCGCCTGGCAATCTCGACCCGCCAAGCCCACAGCCCCCTACTATTCTCGTCGGGTCAAATTTTTAGTTCAATCTATGATCTTCGGGCTTCTCAACGACTTTGGCGAGTCATATTCCCCGTCATCAGAAATTCGAAGACAGAAGTGCCACTACTTGCAGCACGGCCTCCAGAAGCCAAATTCGAACCACACGTTCTATGTCCGGCTGATATCTGGAGTCTTCCAGTGGCAATTTGGGAGATATTGGGTATGAAGGCAATATTTAGTCATAAATACGTTACAGAGGATGAGATGGTTTCCCAGAATATCGACTCAGGCCAATCTTAACTCTTTAACCTCAATCCGAAGGGGACGAGTACGAAACTAGATCAGCTTTCTATCCTTGCAAGATTGTTAAATGGGAGCATCCACACATAGGGCCAACTATGATACTTTATCCTGTCCTAATCGCATATATTCATTAGAGAACAAATCGATCGGAGTCTGAAATGGAACTATACTCAGTCCATATGTGCGGCCCCACCCCGTTCGCAACGCATCCGTCCCGCATATAAAAGCACCTCAGTCAACACAACCCTAAAACTGCTTGTAAAATATCAAAAATAAAAACTACACCCAACTCCAAAATGCCAGACCAACCCAACCAGTCACAAGGACTGCATAACATCAACCCCACAGACCTCCAAAACTTCGTCAAGCAAATCCTCATCGCAAACAACACATCACCAGCACACGCTGAAATAGTCTCCAAATGTCTCGTATCCGCCGATCTCCGCGGTGTAGATACACACGGCAGCAACCGGATCCCCTCATATATGGAGCGGATCCGACAAAACGCACTTGACCCAAGTGCAGTCCCAACAATCCGCCAAGTCACGCCAGCCGTCGCGCAAGTCGACGCGCACAACGGGTTTGGCTTCGTAGCTGCACATGAGGGAATGAGTCTCGCCATCTCGATGGCCCAGACCTTCGGCATCGGGATGGTCTCCGTCAAGCACTCGAATCACTTCGGCATGTCCGCGTGGCTAGTGCAGCAAGCGCTGGAGGCTGATATGATGTCCCTTGTGTTTACAAATAGCTCGCCCGCGCTGCCAGTCTGGGGCGGGAAAGAGAAGCTAATGGGTGTGTCGCCGATTGCGTGTGGAGCGCCGGCTGGGGAGGGAAGGCCGTTTATCTTGGATATGGCGCCTTCCATTGCGGCCCGCGGAAAGATTTATAAGGCGCTTCGGCGCGGGGAGAAGATTCCGACGGATTGGGCACTTGATAAGGATGGGGCACGGACAGATGATCCGGCTGAGGCCTTGGAGGGTGTTATGCTGCCTATGGGCGGGCCGAAAGGGTCTGCCCTGTCTGTTATGATGGATGTTTTCTCCGGTGTGCTTTCTGGGTCTGCTTTTGCTGGACATGTTACCAACCCATATGATCCGTCAAAGCCAGCTGATGTGGGCCATTTTTTGGTGGCTATTAAGCCTGATTTGTTTATGACTGTCGAGGAGTTCAAGGAGAGGATGGATTATCTGTATCGGCGGGTTATTGATTCGGAGAAGATGGCTGGTGTGGATCGAATCTACTTCCCTGGAGAGATCGAGATGATTACCGAGGAGAAACGACTGGCAGAGGGCATTCCTTTCGCCACAGCTGAGATTGAAAGTTTGAATAGGGAGGCTGACCTGGTAAATATTGAGCATTTGAAAGTACAGCAGCCTACCGTGCAATAAGAGCAAAGTTATATTCGATATTGCCATGTTGATCTCGTTACATTATGTGTTAATTATAGAGCAGCTACAATGTAGATATACAGTCCTTTGCCTGGCAACGAGATAATATTGTTGCTTCGAGCCAAGTAAAATCAATGTACTGACCACCCTACTGGTCCTGGAAAATAGACCGAGAACTCGCAACAGAACGGGAACGAGACCTGAACAACTAGCCAGAAAGACCCCACCTTAAAGAAAAAAGCCACGCATTAAGATACATAGACATAGGTGAGGAAGAAAAGGATGCACAGAAGAATGTAAATAGTGTCACAATTGAATTATCGTTGACAAAGCCTGCCATAGAGGAACAAACAAAAGCTAAGAGGGGACAATGAGAAGCGAAAAATAGGTTCAAAAGGATAATAAAATGCTCTGAAGAACACGGATGAGGTCTCACTTTACAGCCAGAGATAATAGTAACAGGAGAAGGGAATGCAAATCACATATGGGGGGTAAAAACGGCGGGAAAACAGCGGGGAAAAAGCAAAACATTAGGAAGCAAGGAAAATGTAGTCTGACAAAGGAAATAAAAAAAATGCTAGATAATTAATCAAACACCCGACGGATGAAGAGGAATCCATGCATAAGAAGGGGACAAAGCAGGGTATCACGGGGTATCCAAACAACCTCGCTGCTCTTTCAAGCAACTCAAAAGAAGCATCAGAATGATAGGGTTGGAATCTGCTTCTAAGATCAAAGCTTAAACTGCACGAGTGCTTGATCAATCCATCTTATTGGTCTGAGATGGAATATTGCTTTTTTATGTATTGGTCGAATTGCAAATCAACGGTCATCACCGGCGCGGGACTTGGCACGTCTTCGGAAAAAGTCCATGACTTTACGTGCGGCCCCAGAGCTGCCGGAATGGTGAGACCCATCGCGCTCATATTCGTAGGCATCAGCAAATTTGCGGTGGTTTTTCTGCAAAACACCCGGCCCACGCCCTGATCGACCAACCTGCATCGACTGCCTAGGCACGCTGTCATATGGGCCGTTGTAATCATCGTAGTAGTTTGGCTTAGATGAGTGATTTTGGTGACCAGAGTGGTCTGCAGAGTTTTGGTAAACTTGCTCAGCTGAGGGGATTCCAAAGGAATCACTCTGGTGATCAAATTGAGACCCTAGATCTGCAAACTGTCGATCAATCTGGGCCTCGTAGCTAAGCGGCTCGGGTTGGGTATGAACATCCTCGCCGGGGCCCTCGTCGACTATTCCCATGGCATCTTGAGTGCCATAGCTTGTCGCACGGGAACGACCCTGCGTCGGACCCGCAGGACCCGTAGCAGGGCGTTGCGGGGCAGCAGGGTCGACAGGACGAGGGACCTGCGAGGTTTCTTCGGGGGTCTGGGCCCGAGTATTAGAGAAACCTCGGAATGAGAAGGATTGCGGGAGTAATGAAAATCGACGAGGACGGGTTTCGGTACCAGACTCGCTTGCCTTGCGGTTATGGGGGTACTGCATGGAGCGGCGGGAGTCCACGGACATTCTAGAGTTTTCTCTCGGTAGAGGCTCCTTCATGCTGACAGGTGGGTAACGCTTATCCTGCTTTGTACGAGTGGTGTTGGATTGAGTACGACCACCCAAGATGGAACCAGAACGACCGAAAAGTTTCTCGCCTAGGCTGGAAACAGTATTGGATCTCTTGTGGCCCTTTGGCGGTTCTTGTCGAGGAGTCGTGTTGAAGGTTGCAGGCAACTGCTGGTTCTGGGTGCTTGGACGGCCGATGGATGTGCTCGACACCTGCGCAGGGTCCTGTGCAAGAGCAAACTGCCTGCTCTTAGGCTGTGCTAGGCGGCCTTCTGTGTTAGTTGCGGTAACAGTAGGAGCCACCGGCTGTCCATAGGAGCCGCGGGAAGGCAAACGACCCGTGTTTCCAAAGGAGTTCATAGATCCACCAGTGGCTGGCCGAGGCCCTTGAGACATCGCAATCGCTTGCGACCCAGTAAGTGCTGCGTTGTCCGAGGTCGAGCGCGGGAAGTGACCTGGAAGTGGCTTGTTGAGGTTGAGTGCCGGTGCATCTGCAGGCTGGTGTGTAGGGTCTGTCGGGTGCTGCGCTGGGGCCGCAATCTGGGCCTCGGATGGGGCCGGCGCTCGGCCGCGTGATGCAGACGGTTCGAACGGAGGTTCTCCTCGGGTCGTTTGTGATTGAGGAGCAACATATTCGACTTGTACGGTCCTCCGCTTGGCATCGCGAGGAGTCCTAGACTTTTCGGACGGCGGGTCTTGAGAAACGTCTCCGGCATGGTGGTTCAAACCACCAACAGCAGGAGCACTGTTCTGGTGTGGCTTTGGGGGCTCGCGCACTGAGGCACTGCGGACGAGAGGGGGTGCTTCCTTTTGGGTTTCTGTAGATCTATGTGAGTAACTTGAATCTTGACCGCTTACAGAAAGCGAGTCCTTACCAGAGGGGATGGTTGTGTTTGTAATATCCACAACGTTTGTCGTGCTGCTTGTGATGTGAGACACGATGTTCGAGAACTCGCTGAGCCAGCTGTGACGGGCAACCTCGAACAGGTCTGCACGTTTCCTGGGATCGGGAACAAGTATCCGTCTCAATAGATCGCGTGCATGTGGCGTGACATATTCTGGGAATGTGAGAGGAGTGGTGACAATATATTTGTAAAGAAGATTGATATTGTCGCCATCTGGGTTCGCTGGGTCATCATCGAACGGTAGGTATCCCGCCAACATGGCATACTAAATTTCACACACAAGTTAGTTCCAAGTCGGATTCTCATGGCTGTAGGGGAAACACACCAAAATCACACCACAGCTCCACACATCCACCTTCCGGCCTGTGTACAAAGAATCGCTCACGACAAGCTCGGGGGCTGCATAGCATGGACTGCCACAGCTGGTCTGCATAAGATCGCCTCGCCTCATCCCATTTGGACCAATTCTGTCTAGCCGCTTCCGCTTCACATATTCTTTGTTGGTCAAGTTGTACTCGGTTTCCTCGTCTAGGGGATCCACCGGGTCGAAGGTGTTGGCGAATCCGAAGTCGGTTATGATGATGTTGCGATTCCGGTCGAGTAGCAAGTTCTCCAGCTTGAGATCACGGTGCACAATACCCTTCTTGTGCAGATAACCAACCCCGGAAACCAGCTGAGCAAACAGTCGGCGTGCCGAGTTATCCTTGAGATATCGATTATTTAAGATATAATCAAATAGTTCACCTCCCGACGCGTATTCCATGATGATTCCAATGTGACGGTCAGTTTCCACCATTTCGTGAAGGCGCACAATGTTGGGGTGCGCCAGCTCACGTAGAATGGCGATTTCACGGTAGATTTTCGGCAGTCGGCTAGGGTTGGTCCCCAATGTGTCTCTCCGGATGAGCTTGATTGCCACCTGGATACTACCATCGCGCTTCCACCCCAGCTTAACCTTTCCAAACTCGCCCTCGCCGAGGGTCTGCCCGAGAATGTACGAGCCAAACGTAGTTTCCTTGCGCTTGATCACGTTTCCATTATTGTAATCGTGGCGACTTCGAGGCCCACGAGCCTCTTCCGCACCGTCGACGCCAGCTCCACCGAATCCAGAGGAAGAGGCATTTTCTGTGCCGGCCTGTCGCACCTGTTCTCGCTCTTGGTCCGTAACATGGTCGCTGATAGGCACAGAGTTGACCTCCGCGTTGGGTTCTTTTACAAAGTTTCCCAGGCCAAGGGTACTGTCCATTTCCGACTCGGTGGGGTTTGCGACTGGAGCTGCCCTTGATTGTACTTCGCGGGGTGTCTCCTCGGGCTGGTGCCTCCGTGGCCTGCCATTTCGGTCCTCGCGGGTGCGATCACGGCTTTCTTTTCGATCGGACCTGCCCTTGCCTTGTCGGGAGCTATTCGTCTTCTCGGTAGAGGTTCCATTTGGACTGCGGCGACTGTGGTGGGTGGAAGAAGTCCTCGGGGGAGGAACCGGTGGTGTACCTAACATGTCGGGATAGGCTGTGCGTGCATTCTTCTGGGCGGGAGATGATGTGCTGGTCGATACTGCTGGGGCATGAGCGGGGAGTGGCACGGCCTGCTGATGAGAAGTGCTCATAGCCGAAAAAAAGCTGTTCGGGACCGGCCTCAGAAACGGCTAAAGGACATTAGCAAGCTATTCAGCGAATGCAATAATTTAGCGGAATAATGGGTTCGCGCTGGGAGGCAATTTGCACGGCCGATGGCATACCTCTAGTAAATGCGCCAAGCCTTAAGAGACTTGCTGTGTGACTGTCCGAGGCAGCTTCTGCTGACACTGACAAGGTGTTGGTATCAATTGCAATTGGTACAATTGGCGCGAGGGAGCACAATGTCCTCCGGGGGAGGGTAGTTGTTTGGCAAAAAGTCGGGGGGCGACCGGTCGCACTCGCCAGATGACGATTCAAGGCGCAATCTATGGGGATTGAGATATTCGTTAGCTTCAATTTGTCCCCAGATTCTTATCGATAATCGCCAAAAATGTGCCTTTTACCCAGGAATGGGGGGTTGGGCAACTGACAGCGATCGATCGGAGGAATGGGGGGGAAACTAGCTTACGACCAATCGCGCACAAAACCGTTGGATGGAGGTTAAATATCACCGAGGACACCAGGTCGCAACCTTGTTCAAGTGTAAAGACGCGTCGAAAAACAACAAGTTTCTCGAAAAACGAAAGGAAAGCTCAAAATACCTGCGCTGCAGTACTCCAGAGTCCCCCTCTTGTCCAGACCCACGACTTGGGGGTTTGAGGTCACAACGTTGTCCAAGAAATCCAGCAAACGCGGTAGCAAATGTCTCAGACGCAATTGCGAACCTGATCAACAGAACTCTGATTCAATTGCGACAACAGTTGAACATGGTCGAAGATAGGAGGGGCGGACAGGGGGCGCGAGGGGAGAGAAAACGGGAAGCACCGGTCGGATGGCAAAAAAGGGGGAAGAAGATATCCCCCAAAGAACAGAATCAAAGAAACTAAAAGAGAAAAAAGAAAAAGGCGTAGAGGATGAGAAGGTGAAGAAGGAAAAGAGGAGGTGAGATACGAGTCTTAGTCTGGGGGCGGGTCTTTGGGACCGCTTGGATACATGGAAATGCTATTTGATTACATATAAGTTGATTACCCTACAGAGCGCTTGGAGTATGATAGTATCTTATTTCTACTTAGAATCCTCTAATATACATTATGTATATGAACGACTCATCTTTGGTATGATACATGGTGACGACAAGGACAAAGTAGGTGCGCGTCCATATTGAGAGTGGATTCGATATTAATTGACCATATATCGCGAATCCCTTGCAGTACTAAAAAGGGCTCGAGTCCCGATGCTAAGATGGATTTGACAAAAATAACAACAGGCGCCTACAACTAAAGAGTGCCAGGTTTCAAGAGCGAAAAAAAAGTAAAATAGGGGGTGTTTCGAATGCTAAAGTGGACACCTTGGGACGATCGTCATTATTAACCTCTCCCAGAACAGAAGCTCAGATCTCTTTTTTTCTAATTAGCACAATGTACGCTATTTATATTAGATCAATTGATTTGAAATTTGAAATTGGATTTTTGAGATCCAAATGTTCAAAGGTCACAATGGCATGCAGTAGCTCCAGCTCCCTAGCTTCACCATTAGCGCCAACTCGGGCTTTAACTCTTTGTATTCCAAAGGTATACTCCGTACTCCGTACTCCGTACATGAGTTGAAAATTGAACATCTTCCTTTCCTTATAGGGGCTAGAACCAAAAAAAGATTTACCCGCACGAACCCTGGGACCACAACCCCAACCATGGTAAGGAATAATTAAAACCATTAAAACCATGGTTGGATTCCAACCTAAGTAAATCTTGTTCGATTTCATTTTTTTACTTCGAAGGGTGGAATATAAATGTGCGAGTAATGTTCCTGAACAGTCCGAGCCTTACTTTAAACGTATCTGAAAAGACTGTACTAAGGCAGGCATAAGCCAACCATTCTTGTTTATATTGTAGGAGTTTTTTCCTTTGACCGGATCACTATCATTTCACCCTGATTGGGCAAGATGGGCCGTGAACAACTGTCAAAGCGATGCGTTGGCAGTTTTCGCCTCGACGTTATATGCTATCACCTAATAGATCGTCCAGCGGTAAAATGTGAGCAACCTTATCCAATGACTATCATCGTCGTTGTTTATGCTTCCACCCACCTCAAATCAAAAACAAATTGCCACCAGAAAAGACGGTCTACTGTACTCTCCCTATTATGGCCACCTAGCCAGAACCCAAAAGAGTCGCAAAAGGTGGCGACTCCTGCATAACATGCGGTCGGAACTTTATGGATATGCGAGCTCACTAACTACATATCGAAAAGGGTAAAACGACAAGCCTTAAAAAGCTTGGAAAAATGAAAAACAATGCCGCCGTATCAGAAGTCATCAAAAATGAAATAATCCAAACATCTCCCCGTATACGAGATCTCGTTCCCCGAAAGCACCGTAGCCATGGGCGCCAGCCCCCAACTTTTTACCGCTTACCCCCTGACTTGGACGTCCCGTCGAGGGACATGGTTCCTGATGCACCATATGCAGGAGGCGGTGTGGGGTTAGGCGATGCACGCCGCACAACAGGGTCCCTGGCGCTCAAGCCAGAAGGACCCGAAGCAGCCTGCGCAGCTTCAGCTGATACATGGCCACCGTCACCACCACCGACGACAACCTGTTGACCGTCGCGCATCTTTCCAACAACCATACCCTTGGCAACAGATTTCAGGAGAGCGCGGCGACTGACACCGGTGGCATCGATGTAAACCAATCCAACGTTCTTGATGCCGCCAGTCAGGTTGGTGGCAACGGAGCCTGCCTCATTGCCGTAACGGTGGTCAATCATGGAGCTCGCGGCGCTGGCTCCGGAAAAGAGCATGTTCCGGGCTCCCTGCTCAATGCCGTCGGCCAAGGTTGAGAATGCGATCATCGATTTGTTCAGCACGCCGGGCTTGTATTCTGGTGGTGGGTTGCGCTTGTCGAAACCTTTCCGGCCCGATTCGTGTTTGCGCGCCAATGTTGCACCTAGGTTCTGTGCAACCTTTCCGACTTGTCCGACTGTACGGGCAGAAAGATCCGCTGCTCCGTTAGAGAGAGTGCCGACCTTGCGGATGCGTGCGTGAGTAGCGTCTGAGAATTTCAGCGGCTTGACATTCGGCTGCGTCTTCTTTTGGAAGTTCTCTGCACCGCTCGCGATAGCACTTGCTAGATATGTGGAGCCAGTCACGATTAGTCGAGATGCTGTAGCTGAACTCTGAACCAGTGTCGAGTTTTTATACGCCGGGTGCCGGGCCATTGCCAGGTATTCTTCGGAGACATTGCTAACACTGACTTGGTTGCCTTCGCCTTCTGCAGGAAGTTCAATTCCAACCGGTCCTGTTGCGATATATTAGTCAGTTGCTGATTGAAGGTGACCATAATTCAATGCACTTACTCTTAGAGCCAGGCTTCACGTCAGCATCCTCAACTACATTGTAGCCATCGCCTAGCTCACCAACCACACTGCCGTTTTCTTCATCCACGAGTACAATTCTTCCCTGTGTATCTGCTTTCTTTGTATCTGGGGTTCCAACATAACCCTCGCCGGGTGCGTAGTCCGCCGGGTTATAAGCAGTATAGTCCTGGGATTTGGGGTGCGGAGTGCGCTCGAGGAATGCAGTGCACTGCGCAAGGATAGATTCAAATGTATCAATATCATCCTGGGACACGTTACTGGGGCCCGCGCCAATACTAGGGAACTGGATGCGAATGAAAGCACCAGCATCGGGACCCATGTCCCAGCGGGGAATCAGATAACTGTCGGGAGGTTGGTGAAAGATCTGTGTGGTCGCCGGGATCGCGATATCGAGCTCGGGTGGGAGATATAGGTGAAGATAGAAATCCTCTTCCGGTGAATCTTCAGGCCAATCTGTCCCCGGGCCAGCAGGGGCGGTATTGGTGGGGACCATTAGCAACGAAAGGGTTTGAGGGCCGGACGGCGTGAGTTCTTGCTCCTCGCCATCTTGGATATGGAAAGCACGGATATTATTGACGCTGTATAGCAGTCGGGGATCGTGTGCTGCGCTCGCCATGTTGGTTGTTGTCACAAGTGGGGGACTGCCCGCAATTTAAGATGCTGATAACACGGTTATGACGTCGTGCGCGGGTGTAACAATGGCTGGTACGAAGCTGGTAGTAAGAGGCTCGGGAACGAAGGATAAGAGAGAATCAGAATTGTTGAAACAGAAAGGGATGGATCTATTTACAGGGCTCAGCCAAGGAGGGGTTTCTTGTGAGATCATGCCCGAGCGCTTAGATAATTGATGACCCGTCCACAAAAGGAGGCTGTGCTACGCCACACTATACCAGCACAGCCACCTCTAACCCAGCCACACTTGGCGGGGTGGGCAGTCTGCCTGCTTATCTAACAATCCGGTTCACCTAAATTATACGACAATTAATCTGGGCAATTGATGTTCTCAAAGAGATAATTTAGCTTCTCTTTTGGGGCCGTAGTCGTGCCAAGCACCCCATACACCTTCCCTATGTTGTATGTTAGTGCACCCCACTCAACCCAGGTACCTTTTATATGGCATGCCCATACAAACCACGTAGCATCCATTTCCTCGCCCCTCTTACTAAGAGGGAGATAAAAAATACTAATATGACATATGTATATGATATACAAAAATATTTGGCCAATAAGTTCTGACGAGGGCTGCCAATACTTTTTTTTCAATAGGCCCTCATGTCTCTGCTATTTAACGTTCTATTTCCTGTTTTTGAATATTTTACTGGGTATGTATATATGTATCAGATGAGATCATGAAAATGAGGAGCTGTATTGAGAGCTATGTGTTAAACCATGTATGGAAAGGGGTTTTAGATGTAGATCATGTGATCAGATAAGTAGATCGGAAGATTAGGCTACATGATAAGCTTGAAGATAACCTTTATCGCCAACCTTGGAAGCGCTCAACATCTTCCCAAGGTTTTCTTCGCTGGCGCGCCCCACTCAAGAATAAGTCCATCTTAATAAATTTTGAAATTAGGCATGTCCATATAAAAGTGACAAAAAGACTCAAATTCGTAACTTATATTTCCACCAGCCCCCTACCAGTACAAACAAATACCCAGTAGAGACATACTGGTTCGTGTACTGGTGCACTTCATTGAATCCAGCATAGTGATAAGGATTTTCTCTTTACCAAATTTCCTTAATTTCCCACGGATACAAAATTGATTATATTGAAGCTTTTTCGATCACAAATTTGCATGTAATTCATATATTGTGCATGGGATATATATCCGCACCCCGACATTACCAAACATCGGTTTTGATGAAGACCTCACTCTGTTTCATTTAGTCCATTGTAAATCAGTTTCACTATGCAGAAACTATGCAGGTGACCCAAAAGAACGAGGTTAGCCATCCCAAACAAAATTACATCCCTTTATACTCCAGATATCACAAGGCGAAGCAAGCAAAAACAGTTGGACTAGCGGTGGATCGAACACCGGACTTCTCGCATGCAAAGCGAGCACTCGTACCACTGAGTTACAAGCCCAATTGAAACAAAAATAGAGTAACCCGTCAGGTAGATATCGTAGGGACTGACTAGAGTCAAGAACTATAGTTAGTGAGGGTATAACTTTAACTAGTTAAGGTGTTCTGACAACTAGGAAGTCTAGAGACATGATATGATGTACAAAGTATATATGACTAGCGTTAATTGATCCATTTTTTCTTTCTTGTAGATATTGACGGAAATCTGGCGGTACGACAATGTATGGTAAAAAAATGGCAGATATTGAAGACTCTGTTAACTAACTCTAGCTAAAAATGACAAAACCCTTTTTAACAATCTGAGCGGACATAGATGACTAACTGTAATATGCACTGGTATGCCTGGTACTCGAAATCACATGATCATGGTATAATACCTTGTAAATCCATGTATTCGACCTTGGACTTTGACACATAATGGTAATGGTAACAGTGCCCAGGTGTAACAGATAGTCATGCAGTTCCGGGTTCATGAGCTGTGCCTGACAGAAGACATGGACCATGCCATTCTCGATAGATATAAATTTTCCTCAGCTACTAGTGGACTGCCAGCACCTGAAACTTCCTGAGTTCTACTTTGTTCCTCGTGCGTTTCAGGGAATCTACTCTCTTAGCCTTTGGGTTCACTAGACCCTCCAGGGGTTCCCCTTAACTGTCAGATCACCATTGCTGCAACACTTCTGTGTCAGCTACTACAATACTTGGTCATGTGTTCAGCGAAGGGATAAGTGCATTCACCCTGCTCCTCTTTTTTTTTCTCCTCACTCATGTTGAATATCTTCGTACCGAGCTACCCAACACGCTGGACTGGACTGGGCCATCACATCTATCACTGTCTTCGTTTAAAATTTAACACAATTGCTACCATACTTATGCTATGCTGCATTCACTAAGCATAGAGCTTACTGAACTTAAGGCCAGTTTTCCCCCTTGATGTACTCCTCCACGGAATAGACCGGGATATCCACGCCAACCTGTCATGCTTGTGAGAAAGGGTTCCAGATTGAGACAGGGAAGCACTCACACTTTGAGGATGAACAACGCTTGGATCATGACCATCGTACCCAAATTCCCCGATGTACTCAAACATATCAGCAAGTTCCTCGCCAACGCATCCAGGGATGGCCTTTTCAAGAACTTCGCGGTGGACTCTTACGAAACGACACTCTACGCTATGTATTTTCCCCCACAGAGCCGCAAATTCGTTCCAGCTTATGAAGCTTCCATAGCCGAGCAGATTTTTGCCCGGTTTGACCTGAACAAGCGCCTTGACAAATTTGCCTCCAGAGTTTAATCTTAGCCACTCAAGTTCCCTTCAAATACACAGGACGGCATACTTACCCGTGTCCTGACGCGCCTCCACCATGGGAACCAGGGCATCACCGTCTATGGGAAGACTCAGCACAAATGTGCCGTCAGCTTGCTGCCTGTGTGTCAGCATTTTGCTTCGTTGAAGTAGACGTAAAGTGCTCAAGTAATTCCACGGAGCTTTCGATTTACCTTAGTGGGCCGGGCCATATGTAGGCCCTTCTTCCAGTTGGTCACATACAGTCCAACCTGTAGGTACGAAGTCTTCTTGTCCAGTGCTGGATAGGTGGCCTTCAGATAGTCGACACCCGTCCACTTCGCGTCGAAGTGTAGGTTTTGGGTATACTTTCCCTGGCTCCACTTCTTGGTGTGCGAGAGAGTTGAAAACACGAGTCTGTTCAAGGTGCCAATCGTGGAATTTGCAGCGTCAATGATGTTGCGGGCTTGTTGCACCTCAGCCGTGTATGCGAGTTCGTTTATGGGTTGGCCAGTTGACTCTGCCAGCGTCTGTGCTTTGGGATCCCACACGACTCCCCAGAAGTCGGTGACGCCAAAGATAACGTTAGACCCGGCGAACGCTGTTCTCAACGTGGCGACGTCATTCAGGTCGGCCTTTACAAGTTCAACCCCCTTGTCAGCCCAACTTTGGCTTGATGGCTTGCTTGGATCACGGGTGAGGCCGCGGACATGCCAGCCTTGCTCCTTGATATAGATATCGGCAACGGAAGCACCCTTTTATTGCTTAGTTTCCCCAGTGCTGGCAAGGCCTTAGTACAAGTCTGTGCGTACCTGACTACCCGTCAACCCCACAATAGTAATGATCTTCTCCATCTTCCTTGATGTTGGATGGGATTTGAATGAGATTTGAACCTGAGTAGATATGAGATTGGCTTTCAACTTCTTTGTTTTGCTGGTGGGGTAAACATTAACTAAATAGGTTACTTATAAATTACTAGTTAACTGCACTCTCTACCTACGTTCCGTGAGAATGGGAGATTCTCTCATGACGGGGACGGTGTAAAGGTTACGCCGATACCCGTCTGTCGGTGTGATTACTATTCAGCACCGGACCGACTGCGGCGGTCTATGTGGTATTCTTCAGTACAGCAAGGAGAAGGCCAGAAGTGGCAGCTTGCTCTCGTCCATCGGTGCCTAGCATGTCTGTAATAATTGACAGAACCGATGCAAGACAAAGGGTATAGGCGGCTGCGGTTGGTTGAGAATGCATAGACTATTTGCGTGTAATGGCGGAACAGGTTCCTACTATCTATCAGACACTTTACAGTGACTGTCCATAAGTTTTGACACCCCTTGGCCCCACACCACTATCATGATATAATATTCTGCCGGCTCAACCCTTTTATGAATTCTGAATCTATAGGCTAATATGGCGTGCACTAGCCCATTGGTGTGTTAGCGCTGGCGGTAAGTTCGGGCGGGTGTTCAAGCCTATCGACCGTCACTGTACTCTGGGCGCCAGGACAAAAAAGTGAAATCGTTGTCCCAACAGTGTGTTACGACAAAAAAATGCGGAGTGGTCAACCATTCCCGGGGTTATAATACAGTACACACATCAGCTGGTGTCTACCCATGCTCCTGCGGAATCTGTCCCAATCTCCGCTGTTGCCGACGTAGAGATACACAGCCCTTAAGTACTAAATCAAGTAAAACTATGATCCGGGGAGTAGTTGTGGTCACGACCTCTAGAGAGTTCTTCTATAACAGGGCAAGTTGTCTAATCGGGTTCCTAAATGCTGAGTATCGTTTTCCTTGCCTGCAAAAAATACGAAGTACAGTACTGTGGTAGTGTACGATACTAGTGTATGAGATGCGAAAACGCGTGTCCCTTCTAGTAGTGGTTGGACGGACGGCTCGGTGAGGCGGCCTCGATCCGTGCAATCCGGCATGCAATAGGAATAAAGATGACGCGAGTGAACATGAAGAAAATCAGTACCAAAGGTTGAATGTGGAACCATTAATAAGTCCATAATTGGATGATATACCAAAAAAAAAACCGCTAAAATGCATTGGCGCCTAGACGGCACATGGTTCTTCGTTACTCCGAGATCAACAATTCTTCATAACTGCGGGATCACTAATCGTGGTTTGTTGGGACCACTGGGGAGTTGGGGGGGGGGAGAAGAGATACGGCTGCGACTCAGAGTTTTGGAACGGTTGAGAACCCCTGGAATACCGGGCTATAAAATCACAGAATAGGACGGACGTTGCATTATCTTCACCACCTTTCACAAGTCTTGAGACTTATTACCCAGTAGTAACCCAACCCGCCTGCAACAAATCGTACAGCACACTTCATCCAGCACGATGGGTTCTACTTCGCCACCCCGCGAGAGCAGCAAGCTATTCACGCCACTCCGTCTCGGAAAAATGAATCTCGAACATCGAGTCATCATGTCGCCGATGACGCGCCTGCGCTGTCCTGGTAGTTTGCCGACTCCGATGGTCACGGAGTATTATACTCAGAGGGCGACGCAGGGAGGACTGCTTATCACTGAAGGCATGCACCCGAGTTTTATGGTTTGTCGTTCCCATGCCCCGAACGTGTAATCCACTTAGGGAACATCGTTTTGGAATAGAGCATGAAGGCTGACATTGGCGCAGGGTGGAGGTTTCTACGGCGTACCAGGCATGTTTGCGCCTGAGCATGTGAGGGCTGTATGTGCAGATCCCCAGCTATTCCCTAGATTTCTCGGATGGGGTTTATCATGAGTCATGTCTGTTGATAAAACTCCCGGGATCGTGCTTCAGCTTTTCGATGTTTACGGAGATCAGTGCTAATTATGCTGTAGTGGAAGAAGGTGACGGATGCCGTGCACGCCAGGGGTGCTTTCATGGCGTGTCAATTGTGGCATGTGAGTTCACCTCAGTGATAATCTCAAGCTGCAGGTACTGACTTAAGATTGCATCAGGTTGGACGATTTGCAGTCTCAGTCTCGCTGGGCGACCGCCAGCCCCTGAGCTCTTCCGCAACTAATATTGGCTATGTTAACAGGAACACGCGCGGAGGCGTCAAATATCCTCATGAGACAGCCAAGCCGATGACATTACAGGATATCAGAGACACGATTGATGACCATGTGCATGCTGCTAAATGCGCGATCGAGGCCGGGTTTGATTGTGTTGAGATTGTAGGTAACGGTCTCCCTTTGAAAAATAATAATGGAAGCTGATGGACGCAGTCGTCTGGCAATGGGTATCTGCTCGACCAGTTCCTCAATACTAACACCAACCTCCGTACCGATGAATACGGCGGCAACAAGGAGAACCGAGCTCGACTCACACTCGAAATCCTCGATGCGGTGATCGCCGCTGTCGGGGCATCCAGGGTGTCAATCCGAATGAGCCCATGGGGAACGGTTTGGTTGCCATTAGACACGGATCCCATCGCGAACTTCCGGTATGCGCTGAGCGAAGTTGAGAAGCGAGGAGTCGCATACGTATGCCTCACTCAGCCGCGGGCCGATCTTCTACTCGAAGAGAAAACTAAGACCGAAAACATGTACGCAGCTATCAGGGAGGGGAAAGTGACTGCTACGGTCGAGGATCTCCATCTCAGGCACTTCTTGGAGGTGCTGAAGACAACACCAGTATTGACCAACGGGAATTATAATGGCGAGAATTGCTTTGAGGAGGTGGAAAGGAATGAGGTAGATGGGATCACGTTTGGGAGGTGGTTTATCAGTAACCCGGATCTGGTGGAGAAGCTTAGGCTAGGGAAGAGACTGACCAAGTGGAACATGGAGACCGTTTATGCGAGTACCGTTGAGGCTGGGACTGAGGGTGTGGGGTATACGGATTATCTTTTTGGAGAAGTTGAGGGAGAGGAGGCAGCGAAGTGAAATGTTGCTGTCCATTGCTTTCCTGCTTGGGTGGTGAAATTGGAAGATTGGATAATTTACAATTAGCAAAAACATAGTTTCTACGAATTTCCTCAGATCGGTGTTGGACAAAATACAGCGTATTTTACCACTAGACCATTAACAAAAACTATGCCATATTTGTAGGTTGACAAAGCCAACTAAGCCATAGTGACAAAATTCTCTTTAATTACAGAAAATCTCTTCGATGAGTCGATGCGAGAGATAAACTTTCTTAACTCTTCCTTTAAAGAGCCCAGTAAAAGCCTTCCGACACTAGCGTAAGGGCTCTGTTGAAAGCCACCCACACGAACCCATAGCCGCAGCCTATGATCTTTAATTAATTTTAGCCCTTATGCCACGATCGCAGAAGCGCAGTGCCTCTAGATGATTAAACAGACCTTTAGTGACGAAACTCCAGTCCCCGAGATTTTTATGTAGCGAGTAGACCTTGCCAACTCCCACATTTACTCCCGTGGGAGTAGGTAGTCCCGTGGGACCATATGGCTTCCTACTTTGAAGAAATATACGACCCCTATAGCTCTTTATCAACGGACGGTGGAGTCATTAAATTTACCCATGGCGACCTCCACCGAGAGAATATCATCATCTCTTCTAGTAAACCAGCTCGAATCATTACTATCGTGGACTGGGCATAAGCGGGATAGTGTCCAGACTACTGGGAGTACTGTAAAGCACTGTACACTTATCGGTACGAGCACGAATGGGGACGGGACTGGGTCGACAAATTTCTAAGTCCACGATTGCGAGAATTTGAGGTCTTCGCAGAGTACATCATGGCAGTGGGCTCAGTGTAAACCAGTTTTACCTGGGAGTGAATGCTGCTCTCTGATAGGAGAAGTAAGCATTTTTCGTAGAAATTACAAAACGGCAGGAAACGGCAGGAAAAACTACGTATTATAACAGCTATAGAAGGTAATTTACTCGTCGTCTCTGTTCTGAAATACTTGAAATAGACAATTGAACAAAATTTAAATTAAAACGGATCCATTAGCAACCACGAGTGAGGCCAAGGAGTGGGATCCTCTGCAGTGAAACTGAATACGCCGAGTAGTTTACATGTAGTCGGGGAATTTGCGGTTGCCGTTGTGACAGGACTACCAGATCGTATTGGGAGTGATAGTCGAGGGAAGGGCTATGCCCATAACTTGACGCAGGCGTGCGGCCATCGTATCCTGGAGTGGGGGCATATTGCGAATCTTGATCCCCAGGTTCGAGGTCATGCGGCTGAAAATAAGACTCATTTGAATGCGAATCAGGAGCCCTCGTCCTCGTTTTAAGGCTCTAGCGGATCCAACGTCAGCATGATCACAACCAGTCAGTTCAGCAGATTCTTGTCCCTTATCGGAAGGTCAAGCCTGTTATAATAGTTGTGAACCCTAGGGGTGCAAAGACGATGTCATTGAGGAACTAAAGTCTGGCTATGTACAAGATCGGTCGTGTACCCGAGCCTTATGCGCGGAAATAAGGCAGTGGGCGGTCTGTTGACTAACCTAGTGTAGCGTCACTCGGCAACGAGGCTCCGAAGTTCCTCCTCAGACAAAGTCTTCAAATCATACAAATCGTTGGAAAGTTTTTCAGGATCGAAGAGGCTCCCATACCCTTCACCGAAGATAGCCCTCCGCAGGAAGCCAAAGGCGACCACACCAGGGTTTGGTGTGGGTTTAGCAAGCTCGGCGAAGGCTTCCTGTTCTAGGTCTGATGTTTGCACAGTCTTGGTCTCAAGACTCTTACCCGACAAGGCCAAAAGTTCCTTCTGTGACACCCTTGCCTCGTTAACAAAGACAGCGGTATTTTCGGTAGCGGAGGGGTTGTTGATAATTCCCACCACAGCTTTGCCGACTCCTCTTAGAGTTGTGGAACTGAACTTTCGATCGCCACCATCGTACAAGGGAACGACAGGACCAGATAGGTCCAGGAGGAACCCTGTCTTAATTCCCCAGTCGAGGAAAGGTCCATTAATCAGAATTGTATAACTAAGGCCAGACTGCTGCGAGACGTTCTTGAGATGTTCTTGAACGGCAATCTTGTCTCCAAAGACGGGGAGCTTCGCGATATTAGGGTGAGTTGTGTTGGAACCGTACTCTGATGGGAGGAAGCGTTTGACGCCGGCAGCCACCGCAGCGTCAACGAGACGTAAGTGGATGTCGCGGGGGATGGCGCCCACACCGAGGGTGTTAACGACGACATCATTGCCGGCTAAAGCAGCTTTGAGCGGTTCAAGAGATTCGTAGTCTACTTTCGCAATTTGAGCTCTGGGGTCAAAGGTCTTGCTGCTCCCTTGTCTAGTGAGAACCGTGACGGCGAATCCAGCGTCCAATAATTCTGAGAGGATCACGGGACCAAGATTCCCGGAGCCCTAGTCAGATATGTTTAGTTACGTATAAATATTGGATCCACGAGACAACATACCCCAACAAGGGCAACTTTGGTGGTGGGGTTGTTTGGCATGTTGGTCAAATTGAGTGGTTTAATGTTTCCGTCAAAGAGTGTAGATACCGGAAGAATGATGAATGATTAATCATTTTTCCAGAGGGATCGCGACCTAGTTATATAGCTCATCATGTTGCGACGCTTCTTCTCATGACTTTATCATAGATCCAGACTATAGATAATTCTCTGGCACGCAATAATTATGGATGACACAATCAATCCCGGCTTGAGGCAGGTCTGACCAATCACGTCCTAGGTAGTAGGCTACATTTCCGCAATTAGATTTCTTAGCGGGTACCAGCGGGCTGGTTGATTGCCATCGCTGACACACGATTGGACTAACTAGTCATTAACGTCACGGTTGAACTTCGGTAGCTCTGTCTCGTAAAGTTTGGAGGACCCAAGATATATTTTACGAGGCACTAAACTACATTTGGGATTTATTACGAGCGGTTACCGTGACGTATTCTCGTAATTTTTAGAAGAGCAGAATGGAAAGGAGAGGCCAGAAGAATATTTAAAGGTATTTCTGAGATTGGCATTGTCAATAGAGTCTCATTTTCATTATTTTATGCGAGGATGAAAGTACTGCAAAAGTCCGTCCTGGCCGGCATCTCGCTATTGTCAGTCTATCTCTTTCACCGACTTCGCCAGCATCGTCGTCGCTATGCCAGCTTGCCTCAGCTCCATTCGTCATTGCTATTGGGCCATCTCAAGACTTTGAGTGATGTTATCTCCAATGGTGACAAAGAGAGGCATATCGGTAAGTCCTAAGCCTATGAGGGAGCAACGGGAGAACGTCGTGTAGTTAAAAGTCGCTGACACTGGACGCAGATATTGTCTTTTCCGAAATCTGCAAAACGCTGGGCAACGTACCAATATTCATATTAGATACCTATCCAGTGGCGCCAGTCTTATGTGTGGTTTGCAGTCATGATATTGCTGAACAGGTCACCAAGGCTTCCAAGGCTTTTCCGTACAGTATCCCCAAGGCACCAACAACAAGAGCGTTTGAGGACTTGTTCGGTCCCAGATCGATTATCACCGCGGAGGTATGTCTAGGCCGAAATCAAGATGAGATTGCACTAGGCCCGGGAAACACTCATTTTGACCAACATAGGGCGAAGAATGGAAGTCACTCCGTAAAATATTCAATCCTGGGTTTGCCTCAAAACACCTGGTCCGCCTCTTGCCCTGTATCGTTGACAAAACACGGCGGTTTGTTGCTATCCTCGAGCACTACGCTACCACTGGCGAGGAATTCAAAATGCATGAGCTATGCACGAACCTTACCTTTGATATTATTGGTAATGATCTCGTTCTATCTTTCTATTGAAGAAACACAAGCTTAATACTAATCAAAATACAACCAGGTACCGTGACCATGGACATTGATCTCTGTGCGCAGCTAGGTAGATGCGACCAGAATGAGATCATCCGTCTCTTCCGTGATTTGGGTTCAACTTATCGTGGTCGGGGCGATAACGGAGGCATCTGGATTAATCCCTGGACGATTCGATATCGACGACGTTTAGTTCGCAGATTGGACGTGCTGATCAAGAATACAATCCAACGGACGTATGAAGAGAAGACCGAACAGTCTGGCGCAGGATGCAAACCGAATAGTGAATCTCGGAGTATCCTCTCGCTGAGTCTGCGGGATATCGACGAACTGACCCCTAACATCCTCGATCAGGTTTGTGATCAGCTCAAGACCTTCCTCTTTGCCGGCCATGACACAACCAGTGTCTTACTTCAGTGGGCACTGTACGAGCTCAGCCGCACCCCGCGTGCAATGAACATCGTTCGACGTGAACTGGACGAAATCTTCGGACCGAATTCGAGTCCGGAAAATGTGCATGAAATGCTTTTATCGGAACAAGGAGACAGACTTCTCTCCCGCATGTCATATATCTCGGCCGTCATCAAGGAGATCCTTCGTTTATACCCACCGTCGGGTACTGCCCGCTACTGTGAGCCTGGATCAGGCTTTACAATCAAGTTACCTGGTGGGGATGACTTATGCCTTGACGGTGTGGTGTTATACAACTGCGAGACCATTATACAGCGTGACGAGAGGGTGTTTGGCGAAACACGGGATACGTTCATGCCTGAGCGCTGGCTTGGTAACACCGACACCAGAATACAGACGAACGAAGATCCAAGCTTGGGGGTGGCTCCAAAGGGTCTGACAGACAAATACCACCTAGCGCCTGGCGACCATTTGAACGTGGTCCTCGGAATTGCATTGGGCAGGAGCTGGCTAATATTGAAGCACGGGTCATTCTGGCGTCGGTGGTGAGACAGTATGATTTTGTCAAAGTGGGATTGGGAGAAATCAAGCTTAATGAGAGTGGCGAACCCATTATGAACTCTACAGGACAGTACGAAGTGAAATCTACTCTATATAATGTGAGTCCCATACCCCTTCCCTTCGCCAAAGTTTGGGATACAGAATACTGTCTTATGGAATATGGAACTGACCGATTCCACAGACGCTGGAGGTTACTGCCAAGCCAGTAGATGGAACCAGGATGAAAGTTCAACTCGCTACGAAGGAACTGAAGAGATCATGATAGGGCTCTGCGTCCATTGAAGAAACCAGGTTAGATGCTGTAAACTTAATTAGCCCTCGCTTTCCTTGTACCCAATCTCGCGTATCGGCCATGTAAGCGAAGGCCTAAGATGGCTGTCCAAGGTTTTATAAACTATCTCAAGCACTCGATAACCCCATGAAGAGAGCCACCAGTTCGCTCGATGATAGTGTAGTGGAACACAATAATGAGCAAGGACAATCAAACTCAGAGGATCTCGCTTCGATACCAGTTCAAAGAAGGCAGTGGGAGTTAAAAATATCCACATAAAGATAGAGGGTAGTCCTCCTCCATGGTTCAAGCTGGCTAACGGAACTTCCAGGCACTGAATCGTCTCTTGAATGGTTTCATAATCATGAGCAGCATTTGCGCGCCGTGCTTGCTTGTTTAGCTCGCATAGAGCCGACAGGGCCGATAGAGTAGAGTCGGAGGGTTCCAAGTCCGACTCCTCTAAGATGGCCAGCCCACTAACTTCTCCGTTTTTGACACTCTCGTAGATCCCGACGGAAAAGGTCATCATTTTCTTAGTGAACATAAACACCTGATAAATGTCATCCAGTGAATCTGATCCATAGGTTGGCCCTACTGCGAGCGGAAATCCGAAGGAGAAAATCACTAATATCAGCGATAATGAAAACGCGGCGTCACAAGTCGAGGACGTCGTGTTGGTCAGAGCTGGAGTGAGGAATGTAATGGCTTCGCTTTGATGATACTCGGCGGCTCGAATTAGGTCTTCTCGCTCCGTTTTCTCGGCGCTGGTTAGTGTAAGATGAAGTGCCGCCAACGCCAACACGCCATGGAGTAAAAAAGGGTGGGAAAGGGAGAGTCGCGGGATGGTATGTTGCCATATCCACTCTAGACCCTCACTTCGGCTGATAGATCGATACGTCGTAGTTGTCCACTGAAGAAGGAGCCGTAAATGCTGCGTGTTGAAATCACCTCGTTCTTGAGGCCGCTGGTGTGAAGTTGCGACGTAGTTATGTTGCGCAATTGACTGAGTCCCTTCAATATCTGACAATCCATGATGACTCAGATCTTCCCGTGTCCACTGGCATAGTATTGAGTATTGGCAAGCAGACTGACGATTGAAACAGCGAGTGCATTTCGGCCGTTTCTCGTCACACTGTGCGGAGAGAGGTGCGGCAGTGAGCTAATATGGCGTAGAAAGGCAGGATAGAGATCCTCTTACCTACCTTGACACTACGTCGCTTGCATTGCAAACAGCCATGGTGGGATTTGGATTGATTTCGGCGGGGAGGCATAACACAATTACGTGTTAAACGATGTCGAAAATGAATCCCCTCCCATGGAGGGCTTTTCGAAGATCTATCAAGGCCAAGAAATGTATGGATTAACAGATCTCCCGATGCTAATTTTGGCCTGCAGAATCAGGCAACATACTCTGTAGAGTGTCAAATAACTAGTTAGTTAACTAAATTGTCAGAATAGTGGATACAGCAATACAGAGAGTTGAATACCATTGATTGGACCGGTTATTATGCAACGAGAGGGGCCAGATTTGTGTTTGCGCTTGCCTCTTATAGGAAAGGGACCCGCAGACATACCGAGCCAATTGTATCGAATTCAAACAATGCAAACATATTCCCTGGATGCGAAATTTTGACCGAATGTTCCTGACAGCGATTGCGAAGTTTAGTGAATAGCTCGCTCTTCCCCCTAAAATACGATGGAGCCCGAAACTACAAAGGTTCAGGCCTCAGAGGCTAGCGTTGCTGTGCTAGACACGGAGATTCCGAAGCGCGACGCTGCAAATGATTCTAGCGCCGCGGGCGTGGACGAGCCTCCATCCAAGAAGGCACGATTGGAAGAACCCTCTAAACCCGCCAAGGTAGATATGCGCGATAGGGGAGTGGCACCTATCAAAGCAGAGTATGTCTGGCTGCCCCTCAACGATCACAAAATACTAAAATTTGCTACTCAGGTACCGTATCGAAATCACACCAAAGCCTCGTCCTGCAGATGAGACCAGTCCCGATGATGCCGCCGAGGCCGCTCCCCGTGATGAGCGTGATGGTGGTAAGAAGGACAAAGGAAAGAAGAAGAAGAAGGGCCAGAACACCAATCGCAGTTATGGTAAATCCAACGATGCGAAGGGCCTTTGCAGCACGAGAATGTTTGCCAACGAATTTTCCGCCGAAGAGTGCCAATATGGCGAGAAATGTCGATTTGAGCATGATTTGCGTGTTTACCTGAAAGACCATAAGCGTGAGGATCTTACGACCCTGAACAACATGTGCCCCGCCTACGAAGCCCTAGGCAAATGTTATTCTGGCTGGAAATGTCGCATGGTTGGTTCGCACTCAACCGAGAGAGAAACCGAAGACGGCAAGAAGGAATTGATTCTACTGGAGGACGCAGAACGTATGGAAAAAGCTCGGCCTCGTGTGGCCAACGCAACACCGGACGGAATTGTCAACATCATTTCGAACGAAGATAAAATCGCTCTTATGAGAAGGCGGGAGGACACCCCGCGGGCCGATTCCTACACCAAATGGGCGACCGAAGTATCTGCAGAATTGGAGAAGGCGATCCACCCGCGATCCACCACCCGCGAGAAGGGTGAGCTTGTTGAACCGGATGAACAAGCGAAGATCGACATACAGGAGAACCGTGCTCAATTCCTTGAGCCTCCCTTCATGCCGTCAGAGAAGCGTCGCATTTACTTTGGACCGGAGACACCCGTTTTGGCACCTCTCACAACCCAAGGCAACATGCCATTCCGAAGACTTTGTGGAGACCTGGGCGCGCAGTTCACATACTCAGAGATGGCTATGAGTATGCCTTTGATCCAAGGCTCAAGGTCCGAATGGACCCTGTTGAAGGCGCACGAGTCAGAAATGGCATCGCCAACCGTTATCCCGGGCGACAATATTGTTCAGGGCTATGATAACTCCAAGGACTCTAGGTTCGGCGCCCAAATTGCTGCCAACAAGCCTTGGCAAGCTCTTAAGGCCACTGAGGTGTTGTCGAAGTTTACACCCAACCTGCGCGTCATTGACTTGAACTGCGGCTGCCCCATCGAACTTGTATTCCGTGATGGAGCTGGCTCAGCTCTTCTTGACCATCACTCCAAATTAGAGAAGATTATTCGCGGCATGAACACTGTCTCGCAGGAGATTCCGATTACCGTCAAGATCCGCATGGGAACTAAGGACAACCAGCCTACCGCCCAGAAGCTGGTGGAGCGCATGGTTCTCGGTGGATACGAGTCTAGTGTTCTGGACCTCGGCCCCCCAGGTGCCGCAGCCATCACCCTGCACGGACGTAGTAGACAGCAGCGCTACACCCGACAGGCAGACTGGGGATACATCTCAGACTGTGCAGCTCTCATCAAGCGTCTGAACAAGAAGCAGGATGCACTCAGCGACACCATCCGTGAACCGGATGCCCGCCACATGCCCAATGGTGGCAAGACTTATTTCATCGGAAATGGCGACTGCTACTCGCATACCGACTACGACGACCACATCAAAAATGCCGGTGTGGACTCTGTGATGGTGGCTCGTGGAGCTTTGATCAAGCCATGGATCTTCGAGGAGATCCAGACCGGCCAGTATTTGGACAAATCCGCGACCGAGCGTCTAGCCTATATCGAGAAGTTCGTCAAGTACGGTCTCCTAGCATGGGGCTCTGACGAGCATGGCGTCGGAACGACCCGTCGCTTCCTGCTAGAATGGCTGAGCTTTACCTATCGATATGTCCCGATCGGACTGTTAGAGTACCTCCCTCCCAACATTCAGGACAGACCACCTGCTTGGCGCGGCCGGAATGAGTTGGAGACGCTAATGGGCAGTGGCAACTACAAAGACTGGATCAAGATCACGTGAGTTTGCTTTCACCGGCTTTTTAAAGAATTTATTAACTAACAGTCCATCGATACTACAGTGAAATGTTCCTGGGTCCTGCACCCGACACCTTCAAGTTCGAGCCCAAGCACAAGTCGAACTCCTACGAGGCTGAGGGCTAAAAAAAAGATCAGTATATAAACCTTACATGTCCTAAAATTGTACATAAAATCATCACGAATGCATGTCTAGATATTTTAGCAAGGCGCTCAATTCCTTCACGCGTTAGAAGGAGCTCTTGATGAACTATCTCTGCGTCATCAAAGACATTGTACGTGGCCACCGTCTACCTCGATAACTAGTGTGACTTGCATAGAAACACCTCAGAAAGCCTAATTGACCGTCAAGAGTTGCTCGTAGAAACCACCAAATCCGCGTGCGCGATCATGAAGATGAATTTCCAAAATCCAATGACGCTTGAACCCATCACGGCCTGACAGGCCCATTGACTCATTATTGCCTTTTGTGATATAGAGGGAAATTCTATCCCGCGGAATGCGTTCATGAGGGAACGACCCAACGAGATGGCCCGCAATATCCGCGCCAAAATCCCAGCCTTCTTGTTTCGCAGCCTGACAGGAGATGTTGTATAGCTCGTCGCCCGACACATCTGGGTTCTCGCGATATTTTGCCTTGACTGTGTTCCAGATCGGTTCAAGGGCGTCCCGCAACTTCAGCTTATTTGGATCATCTCCTAGGACGAAAGTGCGCCCAAAGTCAGCTTCCCAGGCTTCAAAGACTGGGCCCAGGTCAATGACTAAAATATCATCAGGCTGAATCACACGATCCGGAGGGTTATCGTTGAACGGGCTCAAGGTGTTTGGTCCACTGCGGATGACTCGTTTGTGCCAGTGGGTCTTGATACCATAGCGATCAAGTCCTAGTTGGTATATTTCTGCATTTAGGGTCTTTTCAGTGATTCCCGGTCGGATCAAATCGCGTTCGATCTCCTTGAAAAGAGCGACGGCCTTGTCTTGTGCACTTAGAAGCTGAGATGCTCTTTCAATCTCTTCGGTGCTTAGATTGTCGTGCGCCATGGTTTTGGGACGAAATGTAAAAACAATCAATGTGCAGTGATATGGTCTAGCGTTGTCTATTTAACTATATATATTTCTAGACTCCTCGACTGCTGATAGCTTTGGGGTTACCCCAATAGCCGAAACTTCCCCACTTGAGGGGAATCCTTCCCCGGTGACTCACCGAATACGATGTACATATTCATATATCGCTTGGCTCTACTTGATCGAGAGATATGCATCTTGGGAGAACCGTTAACTGAATTATGTTGGTCTAATCGAATACTGAGGTTTGATCAGTATTAGTTACATACAATGTAGATCTCGTGATGACGACATATACTAAATTTCAGTGTTGTACATATCAAAAATATGATTAAACGCATTTAAAGAAGCTGGAGCATTCCAAAGCAAATCACCATATCAACAAGTCAAGATGTCTCAGGGACGAGAGTGAAGTCAATAGATCCTGTCCTAATTAGGGTTGATGACAGCATCACGTGCAGATCCTCCGAGGCCATGACGTCTTCCTCCGAACCTGAAAAACTTCCATAAGACCACCTCGTCTCTTGATCTCCCTTTCAATTGCCTCAACTATTTGATCGGAATTTCTATTTGGTATTTCTGTGTTTGTGCTTGTTCACCACAGAATTGCTGCTGCTTCGCATTTGTTTACATTGCCCCTTAAGCTACCTTTGTGAAGCTCTCGACACCCCGCCCCTTTTGACTAGGCCAGAATTTCGATTTCAAGTATCGCTGGATTGATAGTACACGGCAAAATGACTCTCTACTACTCCCTTGTACGTTCGACAGGTTCCTTGCCCGTTTCTTCTTGTGGTGCTGCGCAAGAATCGCTGCAGCCTGCAGCCTGAATCTGCCCACCCAGCCCAAGCTGCCAACGTCATGCCTGCATTTCTGCCCCTATCGTTGGACTAACAAAATTCTTTCATATAGGTGTTTCTCCTTCTGGTGTTTGAGATGGCTGTATTCTTAGCTCTTGTCATACCCCTCCCTCACACCATTAAGCGCAAGCTGTTTGCCTTCATCTCGGAGAGCCCGATCATCGCCAAGCTGCAATATGGATTGAAGGTATATTGCCAATTATGGAACCTAAAATTTCCTGTCAGACTGCTAAACTTGCCTCCAGATTACATTCATCTTTATCCTCATTTTGTTCCTCGACTCCGTGAACCGTGTGTACCGTGTGCAGCAGGAACTGTCCGCCTTCACTAAGGACGGCCCCGGCATGGGGTAAGTAGCCAATCCTCAGATATTCTAGGGAAACGGCTAACCACTGTCATCAACAGAGCCGCCCACCTTGGTACCGACCGCATGGAGGTCCAAGCCCGCAAGTTCTACTCGCAGCGCAACATGTATCTCTGTGGATTCACTTTGTTCCTTTCCTTGATCCTCAACCGCACCTATACCATGATTCTCGAGACTCTTCGCCTTGAGGACCGCGTCCGTCTCCTCGAGGGCGACAAGAAGTCCGGTGGAAAGGACTCTGCCCGTATCGCGGAGGCTGGCTCAGTCGGCGAGATCGGTCGTCTTAAGGAGCTCATAGAGACCAAGGATCGGGATATTGAGACTCTCAAGAAGCAGTGTGAGGGTCTGACCCGCGAGTACCACAGCCTGGGTGACCAGATTTCCAACGAAAAGGGCGACAGGAACGAGAAGAAGGACAAGAAAGACCTGTAAAAGGGTTGCATTGTTCAATCCCGCTGGATTCAGACTGTCGAAGCCTAAACTTTGACAGACTATCACTCGCGCATCTTTATGTTTGCTTTGGATCGAGGCCTTCTCCCCTGTCATGGGAGTTGGAACCCTTTCGGCAACAAAATCACTCGACACATTCTGGATGAAATACTGTGCATAACTACCCCCTCTCAAGTGGGAATTGCAGTTAGTACGAGTTTTCTCTCGCTACAATTCCTTTCCATGTACTAGCAGATATCTTTAAGATTTTTCGGTGGGATCCATAGTGCTGATTCTATAGCACTTGTCATACTCAATTCGATTTTACCCTTTCATATTCAATTGCCTCCTTGATTTCTGGTGCTCTATGGTGAGGCTTGGTAGCCGCAAGCGTGTTCAGAGCATATTAAAGGCTAAGGTCCAGAACAATAATCGTCACGTCTAGAGATCATAAGTATTCGTAAATGTACATAGTATATGAATCAGCCGATCACGGCTGGACAGCATAAGTCGAAAATTCAAACCAGGAATGTCCAAAAGCTTGGATATACGAGCTCCTCCTCAAAGATCCTTCGAACCTGCGCGAGCACAAACCGCTCAACCTTCCCAACATTCTTCAGTACCTGCTTCCCATCTTCCTTGCGACCAATCTCACTATCCACCCGGATCTCCTGTAATAGCCCACCCTGCCGCTTCAGATCCTTCTCCTTCTGATCGCTCCCAGACCGGGGCCGGCCACCATCACTGGGATTTTGGCTACCCTGGGACTGTTCAGATCCAAGCAGGGCATCTGCGTCCTCCGCAGAAAGGAAACAGAAATGCACTCGCTTGCGGATATACGCGACCACCGCAACTCCATCAAATGTGATGCCTGTGACATTCAATTTCAACGGCAGCCCCACAAAGCTAGGCATCGGGTAGTCAAGCAAGATCTCCGCAGTTAGGGACATGCGCACGTCACCAGCATACTTAGCATGGCACAGCACCTGAAAGTCTTCTGGGCGGCGTTCGCGCATGCGCGGCGGGATGGGGAACGATTGACCTCCGGCGGGGTCGTCAGGTATCTCTATTGAGGGCTGTGGCATGTCGATGGGGTCGCTGGTATGCGGGTTTGACCCGCCGCTACCGGTGCGGCCAAGGGAGGGGTGAGAGGGGAGTGTGTTGGCAGTTGAGGGTCGGGAGGCGGAGTTGGTGGTATCCAGGTCTGGCTCTGCCAGGTGATGTGCACCCGCAGGGCGGGCGCCCTGGGACCTGGGACCAGCACCCATACCCGAATCCGACCATCCGCTCGCAAATGAGGTGCCACCTGCTACGGCGGCAAGGGGTGTCTGGGTGCCTGACAGACCGCCCAGTGACCGCATATGGTATCCTAATGTCGACGTACCGCCGGGAATGCCGGGTGTACTGGCGCGGGGGAGGAAATGCGGGTTAAGGTGGTCGCCTAGTGGGGATCGAAGCGCAGATGGCTGGAAGCCTTCGCCGGGGTATGGATGGTGACTGAAGTTATGAAGGCTATGCGCGGTAGGGTTGAAGGTCATGTCATCTTCGTATGGGGATTCGTGGAGCTCGGACATGAGCTCCTCCGAGGCAACGGAGGTATCGGCATCATCGTCGTCATCTTCCTCGTAGAAATCCGCGAAAGGTTCGCAGAGGTCTTTTATCTCGAGATCTGGGGCGATGGTGCCGAAATCGAAGGAGTGGACCTGGACTGAGCGAATAAAGCGCGGTAGGGTGATCTCTTGAAACTTTTCGTGTACGAACGACCGGATTCGCTCTGCCAGGGCTTCCCCGTCCGGGCCGGATGTAGCAGCTGCCCAGTCGACTTCAATTGACATCACATATGCAACACTATAGCTCTTGATGTTTGTAGGAGGAATCGGAGGTTGAGGAGTGGAGCCCGTCGCAGTATCACCACGTGATATACAATGACATGCCCATAGACTGGTCAGTTGGCGCATCCATGTGGGACTGAAATGTCCCAGTGCATTATGTGCTATTACTATATAATGGTATATAAGGATATTTGCACGTCGAAGATCCTCGTGAATAACTCTCAGCTCGTGAATTTCTTTTATCGACTGCTGAACCTTCCGGCGAAGCGACGAGGTAATTTCCAGATTGACCTTGCTCTCACCTCCCCAACCCATAACTAGCATATGAGAAATGTTTCCCGCGTTATGGAAGTAGATCAGTGCCTCATCGATTGTACCGAGAAAAGCAGGTACTGCAGACCCTTGGGATTTTTTGAAAGAATATGGTAAATATGTGCTTCGTGAGAGACTTCCGTCCAAAGACCTTTGGTTATTCCCTTTCCAACGGCCGTATAACCATATACGGCACATGTAAGTTTATGGTGCACCGTCGGACCCGCATGTTCCAAAAGGCGTGCAGTTTCTGTCAAGATTCTCATCTAGTTTTATTTCCAATAAACGCACGAGATCATCTTGACTTTGTCGATGGAGTGTCCACATTTGGGTAATGATCATTTAAAGCATGGCCAGTCTGCAGCCCGAGTAAACACGGTTGGGTACAAAATTGCGCATCATGTGGGCGCTTCGTTCGTTTCCATCCTCTTGTCGGGAAGACGAGGATGTAACTTGACTGATACGACGCTTTCGACCTGCTTGGTTCGCATCGGAATCTGATGAGTTCGGTGACCCCGTACGGTGTACATCGGATGGCACACATCCGACGATCTTCTTCCGTAAGGGATACATATATAGGCGACGATGGTTGATAGTCTGAGTCGGACTCCTGATCCATCTCCTCAGAATTGAAACTACTCTTAGCGGATCGAGAAAGTTGCTGCAACTCGGTCTTGGGAACCTTAGAAGTAGTATGGTCGAAGCTGGTCTTCCAGACATAGATCTTCTGTTCTGCATCATTCCTCCAAGTCTGATCACGCACAGGGGATCGGAATGCCACTGGGCAGAGGCATAGTACACAGGAAACTGAGATGCTCGGGCATTGAAGGTTCGGTTCAATTTCCGTGGTGGGATCACAGAAGAAGTAGTACAATGTACTAGGCCTAACGACACATGAGAGCCACTTTCTTTGGCCTAGACGAAATACCCATGAACATCCAACGATTTAGTTGAGACCGTGACACTTCTGCAACCACAGTAAGGATTTGGAAACGCAATAACGCTTCTCGCCTGGATACCTAATTCATCCTGGGTTGGCCAAGGTAGGGGGGGTAAAATACAAGTTGATGATGTCGAGATCACACTTGACTTCGTGGACTGAGATTCCAGTCGCTCTCGAAGCTAAAGGGGCAAATTATATACCCCCACTTGCTCCGCTGGATTTAGCCAAGTACAGCGCCAAAAGAAATACGGACTGACCAAATGGGCTTCGATGTGGTCTGCGCCGCGTGGGGCGAACCTCTCCGTATTTTGCCAACTCCGGATCGAATCCTTCGATTTCTTCCTCCGGTTTCGTGTAATATCATCCTAGGAGCTGGCGTAGTTCCAGTCCTACGTAAGTATCTATCCGTTCTCCTGAGATATAGAACACTAAGGATGTACGCAGGGCCTGCGACAAGAAACCGACTATTAACAAACCAACAAACCCAGGGTTGTGGATATTAGTCGATTGGACACTTAAAATCAGCTGATACAAATGAGATGCGGGACTAATACAACCCACGAGGTATCTGTGCAGCCTATCGCCTCCCTTGTACCTTGGGGATCGCAGCTGCGTCTATGTTACTGGCAGGGTCTACAACGTACTGACCAGGTTTCGCCCTGGAAGTCTCTCAGATCCCGACCACCCACCAGTTCGGGAGCGTTACCCTCTCCCATGACTTTTCCATTTTGCGAGCTGGGTTGAATTCGACTTTGTGTCCTACGATAAGAGGACGGAACCGATTTCCACGCGCCTTTACCCTTGTAAGTTTGATGTGACGGGTACCCAAGGGACATTCGTTCCTACAATCTAGCGATCAACACCACAGGATACATGACTCGCGTATGCAAAACGTGACCAAAGCCCATTCTCGCCAATAGGAAATTATGTGTGCCCGACTTTACCGACAGTAACGTCACATCCTCGCTAGATCACCATGGCAGACATCTCGTTTATGTGTGCTCCCTGAAAGACCAAAAGAAGGTCCTGCGATGCTTTAAAAGGCAAACATACCCTGCTGATGGGAATGGTGTTTCGTCCACTCCAAAGATATAAGGCCCTTTGGACTATTTGCCGGTTCTGGTTCCGTCTACGTTACCAGATAAGCGTGGCGGGACATGCGCCATCCTAGTCGTTGGCCCCCATCTTCCACGCACCTCTCCATGCTACTGCCACCTCGCATAGATATCTCAAGTATCCAGTATTATTGGTCATATAATCCAACAAATTTTCTTGTCACCAACAATGGAGATGAGCCACACCATTGGCTGTGTTAGGTTCGTGAAAATGCGGCATGCCGAAGATCTTCTACGTCGATCAATCGTATTTAGACTTGGATGACGCTAAATATAATATGACACCGCCAAGACACCGAGTTCCATCTGCTGTGGTGTTGACTTGTAGATGATTTGAATCCGTGAGAGCCGCCAGCAGAAACACATGCCTTAAGTCCCCACTAGGTAGGGATAAAGACACAGTGGACTTACGGACAACCGTGTAAGCTAGTAGATCATTGAGGGCCATGAGCCTGTTACCCTCGTCCACGGAGTTCTACAAAAGTAGATACTTCTTGATATTATTGTTTAATATCGGAATCCGCATACAATCGGCTATTGAAACTAGACCGAGTGGCAAATGGCAATATAAAAATAAAAATAGGATAAAACCAGGATAATATCATTCAAAGCGTAGTAAAAACTAAGTTCTGTGGTCTCTCGACTTGTCCACGAGACAGTCTTGTCTAAGGAGAGGAAGATCCGAGCACGCGTAGATAAACAGATCAATACAGGGAACCACCACCGAATAGTGACATGAAGAATGCAAAAGAAAAAAGTCAAAACGACAGCCCGAGATGCCAGATACAGAAAAGCGTCCACCCAGATTCCAAAATGACCGATGCTAGGCAACAAATAATATGCCACCAAATAGCAGATGTGATACAGTGGTACCTTCTTCTATCGTGAAGCAGACACAGACAGGGCGGGGAAACCGATCACGCGATGACCATAGGACAAAGCGATGGATGGTCACGAGCCTCGGGGGCATTGGGTGCCTATAGTTCCTGTTAGCCACACCCTATGCAAGCGACAGCCGCCTCAATATGAAAGATGTAACTCACATTTGAACCCACTTTAGCCACCATGACGAGTGCACTGAGCGTTATCTCGTTTACGAGGCTGCTCCTTAACACCTGGACACCTAGAAGTGCCTTGATGGACACAGGCAACTACACCCTGTTCTTGGTGCTTGCACCCGCAGGCGTATTCAAAGATATAGATGGAACACATATTGAGGGTTGAGTGAAAAGGTCACGTTGCAGAGGATTCGAAACAAGTACTGCGAATTGAAGGTCACTGAGTTCAAAGAAGTTCTCAAACTCTAGATGTTGATCGATGTGATGAGAAGCAAGAAGGGGATCTATGCCCAGCTTTATAACATTCGATAGCTACATCAACTGAAGTGATTTGACTGCGCAACTCAATAGAAAAAAATTAAACACACCATCGACTGTCGAAGAGACGGTTCGGTCCTTCCGTCTCCCACAAGCGCTGTAACTCACCCATCCAGATGCGCCATATGCAGGTAGTAACTCGGTGATCACTTGTTGCGCAGTCAAAGAGAAGGTGATGGAGGGCATGAAAATGGTATTCACATGCGCCATATACAGGGCATATGCTTTTACCAACAGAAAGCAGAGTTTGTGGTAGGTGGGCCGCTAGAGTGTGGTGTGCCTCCGGGAGGAGTCACGATTATTGATATGGAGTTCGCGAGCAGCAGGAGTTAGCCAAGGTCACCGAAGCCCTAAGCGTGACTACCGATGCAGTTTCCAAATCCCGCAGGCTGCAGGGGGCACTTGACATCACTCTAAAAGCGCCGCATCCAGTGTTAGGGCTCATCTTCTGAGCGCCAACATTGACCCCTCTCTGGATGGCACCCCATAGGGCCAACGCTGCGGCCGAAGCGTGGATCAGGAACATGCTTTGCCCCATCTGACAAACCTCTATGACCCTGATCCATAGCCCTAAAGGCGCGGTTCACCCTTTGAAGAAGGCACCTGCCACAGCTTTTTCATGATCTTCGTTGACGGCGCGGGAGGTGTAATAATTGAATGAGACCGATGGGATTATGATAACTCTTCTCTAATTCTGTATCCCGGGATATTCAATGTAGGTCCGAGAAGTACCCTGAGACCCTGCACAGGACTCAAAGAGTCTTGGCTCCAGACCTTCAGGACGTTGCGTTGTAGGGCTAGATAGGCAGACCGCTGAAAGTAGCACCAGGAACCAACCGAATTCAAAGAAGGCGGCCCTCTAAGCCAATCTCCACCACAAATTAATTTTGATATGGCAGGAGGTGACTTCATTGACTCTATTGCAATGCGCCTCGACTTGTGTGCGTAGGCGAATAAGGCTCATTTCTATGGCGCAGTTGGTGATAGCCGCAAATTCTGCGCGATTAAAATGCGAACGACTGCATGGTGACAAGGCATTTTTAATAAGTTTGAGATTAAGCGAGTAAACGATAAGAACAATTTCCGAGGCCAAGAAAATTCAGAGGTGCTGTGGTATAGTATGGTCGGCGTTGGCCGAGTGTGATATTAGCCAAGAGGCGTTCTTTCTCTGATCTAGCGCGATCGTGCAGCAGGGCCAAGGGTAAAAAGAAATCAATGATAACCTATCAATTGATTCTAGAGCGCTAATGACTGGTGACAAGCACCAAGTTCCTCAGCCATGGCACAGTAGCGCTTCATATGAGTTTGACTGAGGCTCTCCCCCTGCTGAACCGCCAGCCCACCGGGATATTAACTCCGAGCGAGTAGAAACGCGCTAGGTTGGGGGCGGCAAGGCACAGCAATCGACAGGTCGAGACCAATCGCCGAGCAATCTGTTTTGCCGCTGTTGGTTAGTGTTGGGCATTACAGAGAAGGGAAAGAAACGAAAATTTTAGAAAAAAAAAACAATGAAAAATACATCCCTACATTATTGTTCGAATTTTACTGCATGAGGGTTGTACCACGTGATCCGTGTTCCCAAGGTTCAGTTTGAAGGTTAAATAAACTTGAAGGAAAACCTTGGAAACCAAAAAATTAATTTTAAGTCTAATTCTATTTTTTTTTTCGAACCCAGATCAGTTAACAACAACTCACATGTCATGTCCTGGAGTGACAATTACCCGAATCTAGACAGTTTCGGTTACATAACTAGACCTCGATTCTCGATTCTGGGGAAAATTAGAATATGATGTCATTTTCGTGTCTTTTTTCCCCTAGCGAAATGTGCGCTATCGGGTGCCCTGAGAGAAAGACCGGGGAAATCATATACCCCAGCATAACCGGTGGTCCTAGCGGCCATGCAGCGGCCGGATTGATTGGCGAAGATAGCTATCGACGAAACAACTCGGAATGTCCAAGGCTTTTCCACCCGAAACCATTATTAACACACATAACTGCGTAGGTGTGGATGCATACGAGAGCCTGTGAAAGCCATGAGCTTTTGGATCTCAGCCCCTCATCCTGGCTGTTGATCTTCCGAGGTCCTTGAGTTTCGGCTGGTAACGGGTTCCTCTAGGCAAAGCATATTGCACAATGACA